CTTCTTCTTCTTCTTCTTCTTTACTTCCAAAAGTATAATAACCTTGTGGAGATATTTGGGTGGATGCACTAATTCGTGCTATCTGAGCCCGTAAGTAATTAGCTTCATTACCAGGATAAGGTGGATAACACGAAACCGGAGAATCCAATATTCCAGTAAAAAGACGATGAACCTAAATTAAATTTAAATAAACAGTCCATTACAGCTCAGATATTAAACCCATATATTTTTTTACCATTCAGAAGTTAGTTTCCTGTACCGTTTTTGTCTAGTTTATATAATATGTATTTATGAATATGAATTAAACTCAAAATACATTGAGGTTATAAATGATAGTATTTACCAAGTAAAATTATTAATATTGCGTCAAAAATGATAATCGATAAAGTTTTAGCCTAGTTAAATAACTACCAAGCACTAAGTAACCGTTTTCTAAGATTTATCTTGATTGTTTTTCCAAGAGAATTAATGCTAAAACAGTTTATCCACCTGCACAATAATTGATCAAATTGAATGAATAAATAAATGTAACGGGTGAAAGCGAGTTCATTTTATGTAATACTGAAATTTTTTATACACAGTCCTAAGAATAAAAAACTGAAGTTTTATTCGATAATAATCACTAGCGCGAGGAACTAGAAAACATACTTTTGATACTACTCAGCGATCAATGTGTGTAAATTAAACAGTGTGTTTTTCTTAATTTAAGGAATTGCAAACTTAATTTAAAGCGGAACTAATTGTAACCTGTATGAAACTAAGACAATAATAGCGAATAAATGGTTTACATCAAACCTCGATTTCATTATTTTCAAATTGAAGAATCTTGTGCTATAATAGAATAATGCAAAAGCAGTTAACATGCCTTAAAGTGAAGTGACACCTTAATTTTCTCCTCAAATAACGTATCTTGATCCTTACCAACGAGCTTGTTTTAAGTTTGGATCTACACTTTTTCCCAAGGCTAGAATTGCAATCTGGCTGTTCCAACTAAAATATGTTCAGCTGGATAGGAATCCAAGACTAAATCAATGAAGTTCTAGTGCTTATGGAAGAACTGTCAGAATAATAACCTTGTATCCTTTTTTCTCCTAAAATCTTTAAAAAGTTTTTTTCATCGCCACTTAACACTGAAACGAACGTACAGCTCGAGCAGCTACTATTTGTTCAGGTGTTACCGGTGGAAGTTTTATCCATTGTAGGCCTGGTTCATGACATACGAAATAAACTTTCTTATTAGTTCCAATATGATTTTCCTCTCTCGGCACTTTGACTGGTGGTTTCCATTTGGACTTTGGTAGGACATCTTTGCCTTCTTAAAAAAAAACTCAAATAAGTTTGTTATTGTCGATTAGAGAGATTAACAAAATAACTATAAAAACGATAAATTTTATGCAAAATAACCAGTCAAACTATTACCACGTCCCACAAAAGTTGATGTTAATTCCAGATCAATCGAAACCATCAGACTCCGAATATCCGAGTTTTCATAGTAATTCTTCATGAAACATTACAAACATCCTTGATGAACTTATTATGCGGTAACACCTAATTACCTACAAAGTACGTAACTATGACTTATTCTCACTTGGACGCCTTTGGTTAGATAAAACTTTCAATTTAAAGTGGATTCTTCAAAAAATCCAGTAAAATAACTTCCTTCAACAACATTACAGATAACCTATCTACCATATTAAGTATCTGGCGGAGCAATAGTAAAATATTGAGCTTATATAAAATAGGGCAACTCTAACCATATGTGAATTCGACAGTGTTAACTGATGTTATGTGCTCAATCAAACAAGCAGATAGACAAAACAAAAGCCGAATACATTTTATTGCATACCGTAGTAAATTCCGCAGTTCAGATGTAATGCAACGCACTACTTAGGTTCGGCAAACACACACTACACATCAATAGTGGACATACAATGAACGGAAAAAGTAAATTAGATGTGCTTAAGTTCGATTCCTAAGGGAAGTAAAATCTGTTAAGCCAACATTTTCTGGTCTCTTTGTACATAGTAACTGTTCACTGCTTAGGCATGAACTTTTACTACTTAATTTTACATTTAAAATCAATCCATAAACTTTCATTCACTTTCTGGGGGTTCTTTTTACCTGAAAACGAAATCAAACTATTTCGGGGGTTGTTCAAGATCAGAGTTTATTTACGCGTTTGCTTCATAACCACCATAACTGAAGTTATTTTATCAAGTTTATCGGATATTACATATCGCTATATCTACAATCTATTCAAGTCGCTATTTGTCAAACGATACTGAGATAAAAAAAATTTATAATTAAGAGGATCAACTAAACCGCTGGCATTAGAACGTTTGAAACTGTATAGAGTTCATCCAATCGATGGATGTTGTTGAAAATCGATATAAAAATTTCATTACGCGGACGAAGTTCTGTTACAATGTAGAACAATTAAGGATCAAGGACTAAATGATGGTAGTTTTATCCAACTGATACTACTTAAGTAACTGCATAGTACTGTGCCTTAGGTTCATCCCTGTAAGAAGTCGTATGTTTGTACTGCTATGGGGTAATAAACTAAGTAAAAGATTTTAAAACCCTCCCTGTTTTGAAAATTTCCATAGTGATGTCGAAATCATAACAAACTTTAGGGTCAATAACCCCACAGTTCACAAGTGTTTCTTTATCGATATATTGTCATCTTTTAAAGCAGTAACGCCTCAAATATTTGAGAGAGATACTTCCTAGTTCAAAATACTGACCTGTTGAAAGACTAAAAATAGTTTACGAACCTTGATCATATTATTAATAAGTAGTTTTTAATGGATCCTGGCTGCCGAAAAGCCAGAGAAATGCTTATTCTGGTAACACACTACTAAGCGTAGCTTTTATAATGATTACGAATAACGACACATAGAACAAGTTGTAGCGTTGTAGGAAGTACGAGTCAGATACCTTCACACATTAAATAGCTATTTTTCACAAAATGAAACTCATATCATTGGTTCCAAGTCATAGATGAATTGATGTAGAACTTTCTTATACTCGATCGGAATATTTTGGTGTAGGAGTACTCAAACAATGCGAATTACTTCTGTCTGATGTGATATATCTAGGCAACAAAAGGTTCCAAATGAATTGATCGTTTATTTGAATGGCGTACAAACACCTCTCAGTGTTGTTTAATCTTGTGACAATTTATCGCATTCTGTTGGTCTGGATTGTTAATAATCTTCAATATGATTTGATTTTATTACCGTGAAATAGGGGTTACAGACTTAGTTAGTAACTATCGTCCTGTATAGTCGCCGAACTAATGGAAAAGATTATTCGGATGGCCATTATCAAGTATTTGAAAGGGAAGAATTTTTCAACCAGTGAATAACATGGATTTTAAAAGGCCCTTTGTGTTTGACAAATATTCTCCTTGCAAGAGAAAATTGGGTTGCAGCAAATGACATAGATATTCCGGTAGACGTAATTTTCATAGATCTGAGTAAAGCCTTTGGCATGACATCTCACCTGAGTCTTAAGTTAACACCGAACGTTTCTGGGTTCATTACAAAATTGTCAACTGAGTAAAGGTATTCCCCTCAGTGATAGGAGACAACGAGTAAGAATATATATATGCTGATATCAGCATGGTAATCTGTAAAAAGTGAAGTTCTCCGCGGTACATTCCCCAGTCCACTTCTCTTTTTATCTTTTGTAAATCACTCGCTAACTACAGCGGTCCTCTGTTCTACACTTTGAAGATGATATAAATATTTAGAGACCAATACACAGTATGTCAGGTAGAACAATATTACAAGATGACCTAGATTCACCGGTTAAATGGATTAGTAGAAACTGAACCGTGAAGGATATTCAAGTAGGACCGTTAGTCAAGCGACTTTCCGCCCATCTGGCACTTGATCCGTGATAATGTCTTTTATTTGCTTCAAAGTCATTGAAGAGTACTAATACAATCATAGTATATTTCGCTTATTTATCCGCGATTTAAAAACACCAAAGGTGTATTATACATCGTTAAGGCTAACCTGGCACATTAAGCATAGTTTTAAGCACATAATGTTATTATTATTCGCAGTTTATTGGCAGGTTCTACGAAGACACTAACCTTCAGCTCCTTCTTCATCATCTATTTCAGTTGCATCACGATTAAATGATTCTGGACTCTCCTCTTCGTCTATGTCTTCCCCCTCAGGAAACTCTACTTCGACTATGTAGTAATTTTGAATCAGTCCATGAATTTTCCCCCAAAATCGTGCAGTTTGAACAGCTTGGGTATTCACTAGAGACTTGATAGCCATGTTTAATAGAACAGTCTCGTTTTTCCCAATACCTACTCCTGCGTTATCAAAATAGTATGCATTTTCCATCACATTCGGAAGAGGGTGTTCTTCTCCTTCATCTGCTACAGGCTCCTCATCCTCTTCTGAGTTCCTCTATAAGAGACATAAATAAGTAACCTTCTACTGATAAACAACTCCATACCATAAACAACTTTTGCTGGATTTTCGCCGTGGAAAATGACGCAGGATTCGGATTCGAAGGGTCTCCTGGACCATGCCTCTTAGTTTCTAGTTTAAGGCGACCGCTTAAGACTTCAAACTCATTAAAGTCATCGAATCTTTGCTGGTATAACATGTGTTTTATGCAGTTCTTCAGGTGTTGATATCTATAATGACCTAACACTCTGTGTAGAAATTAACTAACAAGTTAAACCCATAGCTATCCGCCATTTCTAGCAGTGTCATTTTGTGTTTTAGAAAATTCCCATCACTTCTAGTTGTCTCACTCATCACTACACTCCCGTCAAATTACGCTGCGACTGCTGCCATGGCAACAACAAAATTCCTGTTTTTTAAAACAACTATCTTGAATCTAACACACGGTATCAAATAACTTCAAACACATTGGTAGAATATTTATTTTATCGAGCTTTGGCTTTTATGAATGCAAAAGATATTCTGTTAGAAACACTCAATAAGGGAGATTGGATAAATTCCTGAATGAAGATCGACAGAGGTAAAAATGGCTCAAATGGTTGTAGATGGAATAGAATAAGCTTTCGCTTAACGGGCTTCCGTGTCTAGTAGCAATAGATCACCAATGTCTTCAGGCAGAAACCTAGTTATATTAACGATAATAGAGGAAAAAGTAATTGGTAAATAATAGTAATATATTATCCTTAGTCTCTGAAAAAATGTCAAGTTTCCTGTTAAATGACTCCTGAGTAGTCGCTTAGACTAGCTCATCCATCAGCGAATTCCACGGATTGACAACTCTTAGGGAGGAGTTGTGTCTACAGTCCGATCTGCTGTGTTGTGTTTCCAGTTTCTGGGTGTTACCCCTCAGGTTTGTGTTGGGCTAAGCCTAAGTAGATGTTCAACGGGGTATCCAGAAGTGGTAAGGATGCTGTAAGCCACCTCTAAGACGCCTATACTCTAATAGGTAAAGGTTCAGTTATTGGAAGCGCCATTCATAAGGCTTAACTTTCAGTCCCCGAACTGATTTCGTGGCTCAACGTTAGATACGCTCCAGAGTGTCCAAATCCTCTTGTAATGAGGGAGAAAATATTGTGTTTCGTACTCTAAATGAGAATTAATGAATCTGTTGAAGATTGTGTGGGAAGTTCTCCCGTCGAACTGGCCGAAAATGTGCTTCAATGTTACCAGTGTAAGGTTTCCTAGGAAGGCATTTTTTCATAGTTAGCCTAAGACTTCAAATCGTAGGGTACTAGCATTTCAAAATCTTTTTCAACTTGGGATAAAGAGCAGCTTCCTAAGTTGTAGCTGTAATTAACATGTCTCAGATGGACTTCTTTACACTTTGAAGTGTTAAAGTTAAGTCCGTTGTCATCTGCCTAACTTTGAAGTTGTGTCAGATCATCCAGAAGTACCAGTATATTCTTTTGAACTCCACTATGACATTCCATAGCCTGAGAGAAAGTGAAGGTAACCTTGACCCTAAAATTTCGATTTTTTATATATGAAGTGAACCAATCAATTAGAGGTGATTTGATACTCAATCGCTTGAGCTTATTGATAAGACATATATGCTCGACCATATAAAAAGTTTTTCAGAAGTCAGGGTAAATGACGTCAACCTTTCCCTTGTGATCAAGGATGGTTGTCCAGCTGTCCACCGCGGTCAGCAGGTTGGTGACAAGAAGTTTAAAGATAATAAGTAGTCGTGTATAACGTTGCATATCCGGCACTCCATACGTTTTGAAGGTCTGTACGCGCCGTTGTTAGCAGTTCGTTGGTATTCCGCACGAACATTGCCTTTTATGGCTTGGCAAACGAAGAGTGCGGTTCTTGATGACCGTAGGTTGCTAGAAGACTTTTGGGACCCTTTGAGGAACAGAATGCTTTGTAGCACATACGTTTGTCTACAGTAAAAGAATCTCAATGAGCATCCATATCAAGTTAAGGGTGAATTTCCACATTCAACGTTCGAACTTTCAGCTCTTGTTGCTGGTGAGATGTCTTAGCTCAGTTTAACTGATAAAACTATAGGCTATGATCGCTTCTCCCTAGGTGAGCGAGGATTGAGAGGTTGTCAATTAGGAATTCTTTGTTTGTAAATACCCAGTCCAAGAGCGACGGCGTCTGACTGTTTTTCCAACGAGTTGCCAACTTCATATTTTTGAATAATCCCAGATCCTCAATGAAGTTGATGAACCGAGCTTCAGTAAAGTTTCCACTTCCAATATACGTATGTTCCGCGAACTTGACGTTAGGGAAATTGAAGTCCCTTAGAATCAGTATATGAGTGAACCTAAAATGAATAGAGCGGGATAATCCTTCCAGCATGCGATTGTCGTACTTGATGTCAGCAGTGAACTTCCTATAGATACCTCGAGGTGGTAGACAATCTTACTGAGCACCATACGGATTCATCAAGATTTATAAACTCTTGATTGTGCACAAGATTGCAAGTACAGGGCTTGTAGAATTATGTTCTACTTCAAAAAGAAGAATATATTTGTAAAATCTCAGCGAATGAATTTTTAAGTAAATCCAACGTTTCGCCTGGCAATCCGGTCCAAGCTTTTTCAAGGAAAATATTTTCCTTCTTTTTGATGTCTCAAATTAACTCGGCGCCCAAATATTGTGAAACTATTCGTTCAAATTTAAACGAAAGTTCTTATTTATTATTTTGCAATCGCATACGTTCTACTTCATTATTAGTACTGCTCTAATAATAGACCTAATCCCAAAATTGTAGATTTGTCATAATGTAACTGCCTAACATATAAGATCTTACGTGCAAGTCACATCATCGTATACACCAACTCATCGCATAGTAACAATTACGGATATATGATGGGGAACAAACTAAGGCTAGAGGTAGAACAATATATTCAATATAGATAAAAATAATGTTACATAAGTAAGACTACGTCCGTAAGGTCGAGTCATGCCATCCGACCAATTCTAATTAATTCAACTCCTTCCTGCCTTCTCCACCGTTGGGTTTTTCTCTGCGTTGAATGTTGAATATCTATCTTCCCTGTTGTCTCGTGTTCAACTTTGAGAATTGTATGGTTATGTCCCAATGCCACTACAAGCTACTCCACCCTTATTTCCTGTTTTTCTGTAATTGCGAAACAAATACATTCCGGGTATTGCTAGCTAGATATCGGAGTTCCAGATATTCCTATCAGATGAGCATTATTAGCGTTGTTGAGTTCACGTATCTCATCCATTTTATCGGCAAACTCGAGGCGTTCGTATATAAGCAGCTTGTGCTTTCTATTTGAAACGTGTGAGCTTCTCCCTGTTTGTCCGTATGAGCCTTACGTGAATGGAAAGGTAGCCTAACTATACAAAGTTTTCTGAGTTGATAGTCCCTGTCCTTTACACGTTTTTTATGATCAAGACAGTTCACAAGTGGAATAGCCAGCTCCAACTTGCCTTTTGCTTGATCCTGGCGTCATGCGGCCCATATGGATTCCGACTGGCAACCGACGTCTGCTGGCACGAAATGCTTCAAGAGTTGCAGTCTCCATACGAGAGGATGGAAAGTTATTTTCATTAGCCTTTGGGTTGAACGGTCTCTAAAGCAGTCAAAGTACCTTGATACGACGATAAAGAAATCCACGTTAATCTCTAACCATGAGGTATGAGTTTGAAGTTAGCTGGTTCGTCACACCACTCCCGTCTAACTCCTGTAGGCCCTCAATGGTTCAACACATATCATTCGCGTTAGTGATCTACGGGGCTGCGGAATTTTCTCATATGATTATGTCAAACGATTTTACAAAATGCCCAGTCGAAGCTCCCCATTCGACACTCCTTAAAAGTCACTCGCTGATATTCCTGTGATAATTTTTTATAGCCGCTATAAATGAGAAGCAAAGTTGCTGTACGCATGAAATTTTCAGTTTTTACAGCAGAAACATTTTTTGAAACTTTCCCCATGTCAAATCAATAAATTCATTGACAGAAGACGAAACTATCAGGAATTATTTTGGGATGAATATCATCGGGAACTTAGTTTTCCGTGGAAGATTGTTGTTAAGAAAGTCTTCTTCCAAGTTTTGTTTGATTTGCATCGCTTTCAGCAGCAAAATTTTGTGTAAATATACTATCTGAAATGAGTCTACTGCTGGCCTGATCATGTGCATAATGGCGAAATTGATGAATAACATGGGTTCTTAAATAGCGACAACTGTGATTTTACTGAATATAACATAAGCGAAAATGCTTAAAGCTGATACTGTATTTTCAAGTCAACATTCCACTGTTTTAACATGCCGTTTTTAGAAAGAGGCTAATAAATCGTTTAATTTATTTCAGTGCTTGTAGTGGGTGTGCTTATAAAGGTTCAATGTAACGTTTGTTTGGACAGATTATGGAACTTAATTTTCATGTACTTCAATAATGTTAACCCGAATGTTCGAGACACTAGATCCTCAGAACTTACTTGGTTAACGTCGTAGTTTTGCAATTTTATTTTGGAAATCTGGATTCCCTGTTTTCGCACCAAGAGAACCTATTTCCACCTTCATATTTTACTTACCGCTTGGGAGGACTACAAATGTAATTAGTTCGTTGTCTCTTTCAATATTTCGCTGTCCCACTAACTCTAAAATCATCTTACGGATTGATCACGATCGGAAGACAAACTTTTCTTTGATCTTACTGTCTGTTCTGATCAGTACTCCTGTTAAACGATGTGGTTTAATGATATGAGTTGATATCTCAATCTTTACTCGATCAAATGCAAATTTAATTTCAGAATCAAAGCCATTAGGTTCATCCAAATCTCGAAAAACAACATTCGAAGATATTTCACTATTTTCCTGAGCAAGGCATATTTTTTTATCTTACTTTGTAGCTTCGGGGAGGTATTCTGTAACTTAAGGGATGATGAGCCTTCAGTAATGGACTCCGCATTCCTCACTGGCTGCCTCACAGATTTTCGTTCCACATCGCTAAGTTCGTTAATATCGGGACTCTTTGAATAGATGACAGTTGTACTTGGGTTTTAATGTTAAGCGAATTTGTGATCACATTCAACAATAGGTGGTCCATCAACCTGAGAGGTTTCTTCACGCTCTCCTTAAGAGATTCCTTGTCTTTACTTTTGATGGTTGAGTGTTTATCTTGTACGAAAGTTGCACGTGGCGTACTGGAACGGTTTTTACTGTCAGTATTAGAATCTCGATTTTTTTCATCAACACGAATAACTATCATCGAGATCATCAGTGATTTTCTCAAGCAGCAAAACACAGAGTTAATGATAGTTAGAACTTGAATATCTCTTATATGTAGTGGGTGTTAGACGGGTCTAAATCACGTAAAACCAATCCTTATATTACATATCACTCCTTTCGCAACAAAGAAAGTAGAATTAGACTGCCCACATTGATAAATACGGCTGGCCATTACGATCAAATTTGCACAAAATTCAACCATGAGTTTCAAAGTTATTTTTAATGAAATTTGTATCAGATTTGACAGACTGTTAGAATGAGATTTAAAAAAGTACACACGACACTGGAAGATTACGGAAAATAACTAAAAATATACCACACGAGTAAATAATTCAAAAAAATATGGGATCTGACTGATCTTAAATTTTTCGGATGTCATAAGCAAACAAAAAGAATGTTAGTCCACAACAAGTTGGAAAATCACAAATCGCGCACCACGATTAGGATACTTATTTTAGTGGATTATATGCCACAGAGGAGCATCTCTCACAACTTAAACATAGAACTAAAAGGAGCCAGCGATTTTCTATTACTACTTATCAAATAGTGAATACTTACGTTTTTGTCCGAAGGTTAATTGAGTGGGGGATTTCGAAGTGAGACGTTTCACTGATACACGCACTGTGGTTGTTGTTGTAAGTTGGTCGTCAATAATCACCCAATTCGTAATCACTGTGATGTGTGGATTTATGTAGAAACTTAAAGGTTTATTTGATAACAAAGAATACAAGTTTCGTCGGATGAAATCCGTGATTTTGCATACTCTTACTGAAGTCTACCCATATTAATATGCGTAAAAATGCCGAACGGATTACAACTTAGAAGTTCTAACTTGGGACATTTATCTTACCTCTGTAGAAGACCTAACTAATTAAATCTTTTTCTGACAATGCTTCCATCTAAATGCGATGGACTGAGGTTCCTGCGTCTAGTAGCTTAGGTAAGCTAAATTACAGGATGTCAAATTATTTCAACAAGGTAGTTCGCGGTAGCTATACCTACTAGTATTGATTCTAACCAACTTTAATAAATAGCAAATTCAACAAAAACAAGTTTTAAGGGGGTTACTCAGGGACTCAAATAAAATGTCCTTGGAATAAGGCTAAAATCCGACTTTCTCCACAGGGCTGGAATGAGACGACTCCCAAAAATTCCCATTTGAAGGTTTTAGTTTTCCTGATTAGAAATAATTTTCTAAAAAGCATCATGGGCGCTAAAGTTTTGCATAAAAGCTGTCACGTTATGTAGTTGATTGTTTCCGGAAAACGTCTGTGGATTCGCGGACTCCCATGGATTCCTGAATTAATGTAGGTAGACCGGAATTCTAGATTATACCCTCTTGTTTGATGGTGGAGTGCTTTAACAATTAGACTTTCACCATTAAAAAAGTGTCTTTAGGAAATTTTTTCACTTTTCCCGTTTTCAGCTTCTTGAATCTACTAATAAATGACTCTACTTCCCTCATGACCAGTTATGTTTTACAAGGTCTCACTATTACTTTTCGTTTTCAGTGATCATGGTGGAGTTCGTAAATGGGCGCTTTATTAACTAGCTTCTCGAAATTCATAGTTGACAGTCCGTTGAAATTCTTACATCTTTTTACAGCATCGTTGCATCAAAAACGGTTTTCCAGTTACTACTGAAATCTTTCAGTAAATTATAGGGACGACTATTATTGAAACTAGTAATTCTTAAGGCGAAACGTCCCGTAGCAAGAATGTATACACTGTTAGATGTGACGATTCATTCACTTTCCCCTGTCAGGGTTTGACAAATCAGTGTCTTTGAAACCAAATTTTCTAAACAGTTTTTGATTGAGATCATGAACTGATTGATGTTAGACCACCACCTTTGAAAACCTGGAAGCACTAGACGGCCGTTTCTTCCTATCGTGGGACTCCTCAGCTGTGCGCATCTACGATTCCGCCCGCGGGATTCGAACCCAGAGCCTTCAGTCTCGCGCGCGAACGCTCAACCTACTGAACCACTGAGCCGGTCGGCATCCAACGGTGTTAATGTCTAACCTCAACCAATCCACGAAATTGCGCGACCAACTTCCATTGTACTGAGGTAGATACCTGTCCCACAATAGGACGAAACGGTCGTCCAGTGCTTCCAGGTTCCCAAAGGTGGTGGTCTAACATCAATCAGTTCATGGTCTCAATCAAAAACGTAATAATCTCCACAACCCCTATACTAGTTTTCTAAACAGTATTGGCGTCTTGCTATGTATTATTTCCTTTTGATTGTGACTGATATGGAACTGGACAAATTTACTTAGCTTCTGTGTACAGTAATTTCTTTAATACCTCTTTGTAGATCGCGTGGGCATTGTGAGATGGATAGAGACTCACTTCTTATGGCAGTTTCTTCTCTCCTAGATCCAACTATTGATAACGATCAGCGAAGTAAATGCTTCATGGTAATGCGGTTTTGTTGTTGTTTATAAATATACAGGTAGCTGAGAATTACAAAAGTGAGCAATTCCAGTATGCTGATGTTGACTTTCTGTGTAATCCGAATCAGCCTTCTGCTATCATATTTTTTGGACTTCAGTGTTTAGATCATTACTTAAAGTATTGTCGCGTAGCATACATCCAAGTTTTAGAAATCATTGGGGTCAGATGGGGTTTCATGCGAAATCCAGCCTGAAACAAAATATTTTTAAACTTTCAAGAGAAGTACGCCTTATCTATTTCTTACTGAGTAAGATAAATAATTTTCGGTTTTCTAGAGAAGAAATGCGCGCCTTCACTCTAATGTTGAGTCAAATTATCGTTTTCCTCATCAAGTGTGAATGGCCTCAGCAATGGCCTACTATGTTACCTGAATTCCTGTCCCTTGGAAAATTAGGGGTATGTTTCTCATTGAATGATCTACTCTTATTAGATTCCCAAACTAAATTAGTGCTGAATTCATTCTTAAGATTGTACGAAGATGTTATACAATTCCAAGATGCTCCACCATCTCGACGGCGTGACATTTTAACAGGTCTGAATGACAACTTGACCGAGATATTTGTTTTTGCACTTGATAGTATTGTCAACAGGCTCTTACTCCCGAATGCCGTATGTTCATTATTTACTCTACTTTCAATACAAATTAGGATTCATTCATCGACTGCGACTCACTTGACATCTGTCGTGAGTCATTGTGTACATTGGGAGGGTTCCTAGAGTCATGTCGTCTAAATGTTTTGACTTCTTGGACCCCTTCAGAAATCGCTATCAAAAACCTCAACCTTAGTCGCACCTTGCCATTTCTGAGTTTAATTACTACGCTCGTTGGGATTAGAAGTTTACAAACCGATGCTCTAAGTTTGATAAATATCTTGCTATCCAGACGAATGCAACCGGGATCCGAAATTCCAGATTCATATGGCCCAACTATAGCTGACAGTTTTCTGAAAGAGCCTTTGGGATCTTCATCTCCATGCAATAATCTCATAAAAGTTTTATGGTAAGTTGGCTTCATAGTTACATTTTTTTTAGTTGTTTCTCGTTAAAAGTGAGCCAAAATATTCCTTGTGCTTTTTAGTTCTACATTATCCGAAAATCCCGAGTATTCTGATGAACGTTACAACTTCTTAAGGCTATTTGGTGATATTGTAGTCCATATTGGTTGTCATATGATTATCCATTGGAAGGAGTATTCATATGAATCCGCTCTCTGCAATTGCTTGGACAATGGTGTATGTGAATGTCCGAACCTACCATCACATCTCTTCCAGGCAATTTTACGTTTGACTGCCTACCCAATCCAAGTACGTTTATAGAAGTGGCATTAAAAATATTTAAATTTGTGAAGCAGTAAAAAAAAGTAAAATTGTCGTATTCTCACCGTCTTTTTATGATCAACAAACATCTAATTTACATCCCCTTTCACGTTTAGTGTTGTATAGTCGTTTACTACCAAATATTTCGTTCAGTTTATCAGTTTTTAATATTATTTTACCATTAACCGTTCCATAAATAATGTTGATTTTGTTCTAAGTAGTGTACTGTGATCTATAAATTTTGTACTGAGCTATTGTAAAACACAAACATATTGCGTCAGATCTGTGACCACGGTTTATACAACGTGTCTAGATATTGAAGGTAACATAAATGTAACTAAACGATTAACTAAGCAAACTTTTCTATTACATATATTTTTTGCTTAGTTTCAGTCACGAATGAGTACATTTAGTCTTTGGCGAAAATATAAAGCTTTCACTGTAAAAATATAATATACTGTGTTCAATTCACTTGGTATTGTTTTACTTGAATCCTCCTATTGATGTTTTAAGACTGAAATTGATCAGTCTCTTATTGTCATATGTGCATACTGTGCGTATGCCTCGATATTGCCTTAATTTACAAGCATTATAAGCAAAGATGGATAGTGGCTAGCAGTGGAATCCAGGACGCGTGTTTCGTCTTGTTTGGACTCGTCAACTGGATGTACCTGCACCTCAGAGTTGATGTTCACTCTGGGACTCTAACTCAGTACCGTTTGCTTCAAACGCCATCGCGTTCCCACTTAGCTATTGAGTCCTGATAGCCACTTGCTTGTGCAATGGAGTAAAGTTTAATTCACTTGGTATTGTTTTACTTGAAACGCGCGTCCTGGATTCCACTGCTAGCCACTATCCATCTTTGCTTATAATACTGTGTTCAGTTTACGTCTAATAAGTCATGGCAGAGAGTTCAAGAGACCCCTGTACAGTTTAAAGGTTTCTAGTTTTAAGCGAAGTTCTTTCAAAATTTAATTGCAATCTTACAAGAATTTGGGCTTCAAATGTATGTAAAACGTTAGAAATCACGTTAGATTTATGGAAATCTTGGTTATCAAGATCCAATGTCTTCAGCTTTTCTCCTGACAGCCTGATTGGAGTTTAAAAATGGTAATCAGTGATAAATGAGGTCGTAAACATAGCGTTTCCAAAAATTGTCTAGTCATGTTCAGATGTTGAATGTGAATGTCCGCCACTTAATTGTGATATTTGAAGTTGTGTATATTCTCATTCAAATACAGTTATCTAGTATGAACCTTGAGTTCTGATGAGAATCATACTAGTCGCCCAGAGTTACCATAAAGTCAAGTTTAACAACAAATTAAATGTATGAGAGTATGTATTGTTTGAAAGACCAATAAATTGTAGTATGTGTGTGAGTGATGTTATCTCAAATGGAATCAAAGAAATGATAATTCGTTATAGTTAACTGAGTTACTAAATGCATGTTGTACAGGAATAAGAATCTTTGACATTTATCAGTGAGCATTTGATAATACGAGTTCTCCACTTTGTTTAAATCTTAGTTCAGCTATAAATCCATCTTTTATGAAAATGGCCTATTATTATTAGAAGAGAAATTTCAAGTTCTTGGAGGATTTTGAAATTGTAATTAAGCTTGTTATGTTCTTTACTATGACTTTTAACATCGGTACGCATGAGTCTATATAAACAGTGTTTCTGTATTTTCTCATGTACAGTATATTTTCCTATAAGTGCTTTTGTGTAATGTTTGACTTTTTGGTACCAGGTGATATCAGCGTGCACTAACAAATTTTGGATCACCGTTCTTCGTTCAGACGAAAAATCTTTACTAAAGTTAACTGAAAGGTTTGCGGATGATTTATTTAGCATTTGGCGAAAGAATTCATTAAAAGTAAGTCATCCAGTGACTAAATCATATTAGCTAAGTCGGGTTTTATTGGAGAGTATTTATAAATAGTCTATAAAATTCAGTTCACTAATTGCACCAATAAACTTGTTAACTAATGTAAAAATTACTAAAACAAGTTGAACTAAAATAAAAGGTATCCTGAGCTTTTGTTTGTTTATTTAGTAGGTCCATCCAAAATCGAAAGAAAACTGCACTGTGAAATCTTTAGTTTCATTATCTTTATAAGACCGTTGGCGGTTGACTGTCCTATTAAAATCGACATGCGCGGGTCTAAAAAGTATTTGTGACTAATTTTCATGGGTTTGAAATATGCCATCATGATTTTACTTCAGTTTGATCCACCCGCAAAACGACTAAACCTTACGGAGTTACATTAAATCAATCCTTATCAGAAGTGATATGACTGCAAAGACCTTTCAGGTTCATTAGTAATAGTTGATAATCTGACACAGGAAAAAGTAAGTTTTCTTCAACACAATCTTCTCTTAGTTCGTTTGACACTTTGGATAGGACATTCAGTTGTTAATATTCTCAAGCGATCACGGTAAACTTTCTCTTGGAGAGCTTTCACTTTAATCTTAGCTTATTTCCATAACGCGAGACTTGGTGTGATTATTAAAACAAATTAGTGGTGAAAGTATCATTTTCGAAAACAGTCACTTCATTAATATGACTCATCAAACTAATTAGTCATAGGTGAAATTTATATTCATATGAAGCCGATAACAGTATCTTATCGATAAGTTATACACACGTAGCGTTGGTAGTCAATCTACATTTGAAAGTTGTTTCAACAGTTCATTTACAAAATACGGTAAATGCGTCTACTTATACTAATTGTTTACCACAATGGCTACTATATTTTATTGCTAATTTGTTAGGTTGGTCAACCATCTGGTACTGGCATTCAAAGTGAGTGGAACCGAAGAATTTTCGAAACCGATGATCATACTAGTTTTTTCTCCCGTAAGTTGAAACTAATCACTATTGTAAAGAAAATGAATTAGCTGATATAATTTCGAGAACTTCACTATTGCTACCATTTTCTAAATTTTGTCCTACAATGATTATTTAGTTGTGAAAATACTATTAAATAAATTGTTTTAAGGCAAATAATTTAATTCACCAAGTAATTGGATATTCTTGCGCTCTAGTTTACTGTATTTAGTTCTAAGTAAAGAAAAAATGTCTAGATTGCAATGGCACTGTTTTACTGGTTGTAGTATGACTTACCTTCTTGACCAACAGGAAAACGCATTGATTTAATTTCAATCTCAGTTTCCTTAATGCTTCTCAATCATTGAACTGCAATGTTAAGTAGATAACATTCTTCATCATTCATAGCAAACCAACATCAAGACCCTACTGTTTTTATCGTTCGTCAGTTAACTAACAAGCGGACACAACATAGGTCTTATTATGATAATTCATCAATGAAGACCATACTTTTCACCAGCTTATCACTGGATATGTAGGAAAAGGAAATATAATTTATAAATGAACAGGAAACTATATATATGGCAGTATTACGTACATAATTTTGAAAGATAGTAGAGAACATACTCCTATCTGGATCGTTTCCATGTCACTTGTTACATACATTCTTTCTTGTCCCTGAATTTATTGGCTGACATCTACCTCTAACTTATTATTCGAAAATAACACCAGAACACTCTAAACATTAGAGATAACCCAATCATGTTGTACCACAAATTGTCCAAAATTTAAGAAGTTTTGTATTGAATTTAAATATATTAGTTGAAAAAAATATAGCGTTCTGCTTAGAAAGTGGCGATTTCATCTAGAAAACTTCCGTGTGACTAATATTATTAATAAAATGTATACTTGAAATCCTAAACTCACATTTAACTGCTAGTTATGTGTTCAATTATCTTTTAGTACCTCTTGCGATATTCTAATGACTTCCGTCATTCACTTGTTGTCATCTATGAATTGGGTCTTGCAAAACTGATTATTGAATCGTTCCTCTGTACTTCATTCCAAGCAGTTATAGGGAAGTAGCAAAATGAATTGAGCTAAGTATTAATGAATTATCTTATCTGAGTGGTTAGTCGTTCATGCATAAATGTCTTACACTTCAGCCTAAGAGCGCTCCAACTGATGATTGGTGGCTTTTCACAACCTCATTCGCATTTATGAAGCTTCACCAAACTCAGTGTTAGTGCCCAATATCGTAACCTGATCAGTTGCCGTATATGCACAAATTTAGTGATGCTTGTATGTAGTTTCGCAAACTTGGAACTTGAAGTGGTATTGTGGTGTGCCTACTTATATTCACATAAGTAGTATATAACGGTGGCCAGGCATAGAATGTATTTCAGTAGAAGATCGATAATGAAAGAACGGGAACGGAACGCAATTGGTATGGAAATGCATGAACAATGAAACCTGAGACAATGGACACTAACATTTGGAAAAGGAACAGTCAAGTTGGAGACTACGGATTGATATTTTGCAAATTAACCATTTACTATATAGTTCTCAGATTTTAGTGAGATGCTCTGTAATTTCGTGTCCAATGCATTCGATTGTCCCCACCGTGTTCTTGTTCACTACAGTATCTGTTGAACTATGATAAATATTACAAGGAGATTCCATCCCTATTGGCTTATTTATTAAACTACTGAGATCTCTCCGGGATATGAATTCCCAAATATTTTAGCAAAATGTCATTGATTCCAAAAACAGTTAAAAATTCTTAGTGCTATGAGAGAAACTATTATATGGATGTATTGTAGTATGGTTTTCTTCTAGCTATACATATATTTCTGTCGTCCAACATAAACATTTTTATTTGTGTAAGTCTTATTCAATTTTGTTAGTCAAACGTCTCATGGATCCAGAAACTTGACTTACAACTATTAAGTTATGATAATGAAGACAGAAATATATTTGCAATATCCTAATGGGTAGAAAAATGGATTTTTGACATTTCGTGACTGAGTGTATTTCTTCATAAACTTTGTAACTACTTTTTCAGTTTAATTCAGTGAACAAATTAGGTTAAACATTTATTACATACAAACAATTCTGATCATACTAACGTCATTTTATCCGGAGCAACGAGGATTCTATGTGAAACATGTTTTTATATGTGTCTGAGGGGGTGTATAGATGACAGTAGTGTAATCCATGTGTTTTTTGTGTGATCGTAAACAGATTACATATGAGTTGTGGTTTGAAAGTTACCTAACTTACTTTGTTGCGGTCTGCTAAGTAGTTTTTCTAGCTTCTATGTAATTAATATGATTCCCATCTTTACATCAGTACCCATAGACTGACTTTTAAATGTTTATTTATTAATAATCATATATAAAGAGCACAACTATGTTTTCAAATAAACATTTATCCTCCAAAAGGTCCTAATAACTTCGAAAGTATGGTGTAGCCAAATTAAATACCTGAAATTAATTTTATGATATTTGTTCACTTATTTCTTTTCAGGATACCGAAGTGATTTAGTGAAGTGTTTGTCAGCTGGAGCGTCTTGCTGGCCACAAAAAGTTTTACTTTTGTGTATATCATGGATTGAAACACTAATCCAAGCATCTCCATCCTGTCAAGGTATTTTAAACAGATATAATCAATAAATTTGCTTTGTATTAATATTTTGACGTAAATTATTAATTTTGGGTGGATTACGGGATGTTTCTCTCTCTTTCTTCTATCCGGTTTATCAAAGCTCCCGTTTCGTAGTGTATTTTCGTGTTTTTTGTTATCTTTTCCAGATTATGATCCAATTACTAAATTCCTGTTAGCGACTTCACCACTTATACTCGAATGGGAAGCTTTAGATTCGTTTCTAGAACCATGTCTATCAGCTGTTGAACAATCATTGAAGGCTCTTCATATTGATATGGATGTTAGTTCAAAAGTGAAAAATTTGATTCATGGGATTTTACAATCTTCAAATAGTATGGATCCACTCCTTCGTGCTAAGCATCTAGCTTGTTTATCAATGCTATTACAACATGTTGATTCAAATAATGATTCAGAACTTCTGTTACCCTTTTTAAATAAGGTGATTTTTGTCGTTATTGTTAATGCTTAACGTTTCTATTATTGCTACCTAGACTCACCTACATAGAATGTTCCACTACTAGTTCAACGTCTATTATGCCGAAACCTTTATGCTGAAAGTAATTAAATATGTAAATTCATTTTTATGCAAGTAGATTTTATTTGTATATAGATTTATACATTTAGACAGTTTAGCAACATGTGAGACCAAATTTTTGTCTTTTTTTGAAAAAAAAAACGCTGAAAGAGACTAAGGACACGTATGTACTCTTATTTGTTTTCATTTCTGATTTATCTGATGAGAATATTCCCAAAAACGATAAAATTGTTCCAGACACTCAAAGTAGAAGAATGTAGTTGGGAAGAGTAAATCGGGAACTAACGAGGTATTTATTAGTTTATGATACCTACCGAACTTCAAATAATTTATAATTATTCAGTTCGTGGTAGATATGAATACCATAAGTTTTATCTGTTAGACTTTACACATAAGTCCATATCCTTGAGTAGGAGGAACCTTATTTTATGTAGACTGGAAATTACTACTTAATTTTGTGTCCTATATCGTTAATTTCAATATTAAATCGTTGACTTTGAACTTCATACCAGTAATGTCTATCATATCTTTGCGACACTGCTTTCATTAAAATAAAATACTAATCAGTGTTTTTCTGAGAGCAATTTAGCGATTTCTTATTGGCCTAAAATTTATTCCTAATTAATGAAATGCTGACCAATAGTATGATGGTATGGTATATGTTGTGGGAGCTTATCTTTCATCTAACTGGGCTTGATTATTGAAGGTATTTCAACTCGTAATACTTAAGGATTGTCTTTTATGTAGCAGTTTAGTCTGAGATGTTGCTTATATGGCTTACGAATTACTTTCTTTTAATTATGTTCTAGATTTTTGAATCTTTAAACTCTTGTCCTGTTGTGGATGAATCTCCATCTTTAATCGATACACTTGATTTTGTAAATAGACCACGGCAAGTTAAAACTATGCACTTAGCATCTGCAACATCATTTCTTCGTTTCACTCGTGCTCGTCCTATAAGAATGATGGTAAGTTCCATACTTCTTTTACGAAATGATCTAATTGTATGATTTTTATTAAGAATTTGTTTCTTTTTTTCTGTCGCTTAGATATTTTAAAGTAGAATAATAATTATTTGACACAATACCGACAGAACAAAAATGATCGGTCTGATTGTGTTAAACACAGCCTTTGCCAACGTTGGGTGACGTATTATCAGTTATTCCTACAAAATTAAGTCTATTATTGTTAAGATTTTCCTACACGACGCAGCTACTCTCATTGCTTACTATTCTTAGGACACGTTACTTCACTCGACTAGTCCCCAAAATCAAAACACGGTTGAACAGGAACTAAATTATGTTTCAAACAAACAAAGTTGAATGAGAGTAAGGTTCACAGTAAGAAAAATGTTAGTATATTTATAAATGTATGCGCGAAGATTCTAGAGTCTACAATTATCGGCTACCTGTGATTGGCTAAGAAATGGTTAGTCAGCGTGTTCTAACACAGTCAGTCAGTAACAACGTAGAACTTCGTACGTACTTACATCAGTTCGAGTTGCCATACCACATTAGCACACAAATACAATTGTCGATTCAAATCCCGTAGTGGTAGAGGTAGTAAGAGTATAAGCAGTAATCGGAAAGATTAGGGTTTGGAGATGTTATTAAAAGAGTATAATACAGTGAAATAAATTTGGAAAGAGGAAAAAAGGGACATGAAGAATTCAGAAGATTAGAATTTGGGAGAACACAAAGAGTGGATGCACCTGCGCCATTGCAAACGATTTTGAGCCATGTCATTCAGGGTCTCTAACCATCGGTTGCTATCATCTCGCGGTCCCCAACCAGGTAGTCTACACCTACCAACATGACTCAGTTCACTTGTCAGTGACTTCATGGACTTGTGCCATGTTTTGGTCTGGCCGCCCCTAGCTTTCTTCCAACCTACTCCTATACCACTGAACATCGCTCGTCGAGGCAGTCGGTCGTTGGGCATACGTAACACGTGTCCCAGCCATCTCAACTGATGAAGTTTCACTACTTCAATTGATTTGCCATCCTTACCTAGTACCCGTTTCCTAACAACTGTGTTACTTACTCGATGGTCCCATGATATACGAGCAATGTTTCGAAGACACCTATGATCAAATACTAGTAACCTACGAATATCCTCTACTCTTACCGGCCATGTTTCACTGCCATAAAGTAGGACGGAACGAACTGCTGCGCAGTAAACACGTCCTTTGGTTGATAGACGGATATCTCGCCTACGCCATAAATGACGCAAGTTGGCAAAAGCTAGTCGAGCCTTCTGTATCCGTGCTGAGATTTCGTCACACACCAGACCACAAGGGCTGATGAGACTTCCAAGATAAGTGAAGCGGTCGACACACTCAACTACTTCACTCCCTATCACTAGTTCGGGTGTCGATGTAACCCAATCCTGAAGCAACATTTTGCATTTCGAGGGGGAGAATCGCATCCCGAACATGCTTGCATTGTTGCTTAGAGTGGTCAGAAGACTCTGCATTTTGTCAGCGTCTTCACCAAATAAAACTATGTCATCAGCATATTCTAAGTCAACAAGTGAACCTCCCGGTAGAAGTTCAACCCCTGTAAATTTAGATGAGGAGAGTGTTATCTCTAAAAGTACGTCAACGACAAAGTTGAACAAGAATGGGGAGAGTGGACAGCCCTGACGAACACCACTTGAGGTAATCAATTCTGATGACAGTTCGCCATAAGCTCTCACTCGACCAGTTGTGTTCGAGTAGAGAGCCTTTATAAGGTTAATGTACTTCTTTGGTACTCCTTTCAGTGACAAACACTGCCATAGAACCTCACGATCAACAGAGTCGAATGCCGCCTTAAGGTCGAGAAATACTACCATTGTGGGGCGTCTGAATGTGTGTCTGTGTTCTAGAACCTGACGTAGTGTGAATATCTGATCTATACAACCACGTCCAGGTCGAAAACCAGCCTGGTTTTCTCTAGTCTGCTCTTCACGAGCTTTAGTTAGGCGTCGAAGTATTATTGAAGCTAATATTTTAGACACTATATTAGTCAAACTGATTCCTCTGTGATTGTCACAAGAGGACTTTTGTCCTTTCTTATAGACTGGCACAATCAGTGATTGAGACCAGTCAGATGGGATTACGTCCAGTTCCCAAATTCTACCTAAGACCTCAGTTAATCTCATTGCTAATACTGGACCACCATCCTTAAAAATCTCAGGAGTAAACCTGTCAGGGCCTGCTGCTCTCCCTCGTTTCAGATTTCCTATGGCTTTTTCAACTTCGTAAAGAGACGGAGGACCTACATTAACTTGCCATTCAGGTTGACTGGAGATCGTGGGAAACCGAAGTGTGGCTGAAGGCCAGTTGAACTGATCCCTAAAGTGTTCTGCCCATCGATCCAATCTCCTGGATTGAGAATGAATAATATGTCCATCTTTCTCTGAGATTGTTTCGCTAACAGTCGGTTTCCTTAACGAGTCTGAACAATTGTCTGCTATTACCTATTGCCGCTGCCTTTTCCATCTCTCTTGCTTTCGCTACCCACCACTGTTCGCGATCATTGCGTAGACTTCTTGTCAGCTTGCGCTTAAGCTGACTCCGCTCTTCATTATGTTCAGAGCCAGGTGGAATGAGTTTCCGAGCATCTATCAGTGCGATAGATGCTGCTGAGATCCAGTGTTGCTCCCTAACCTTCGGTTTACCTTACTAGCAGATATCACTGCTGTTTCCACAGCTTTTCGGATATCATTCCATGCTGCATCGGGGTGGGCATCACATACATGGCTGCCTAACTGTTTTCCTAGTTGTTCCTGAAATATACTCTTAGCTTGACTATCATTAAGTAGGGCCCTAAGAGGTTTCCTTGCAGCGTCTTTCCTACGTCCAGTAAGACGCAAGCAAATACGCGCTCGCACTAGAGCATGATCTGAATCTAGGCATGTGCTCCAGAATGAGCGACAGTCTTCTATCGAGCCCCTCCATCGGTGGCTGATAGCGATGTGATCTATTTGGGTCCAACGTTGGGACGAATTAGGGGGTCGCCATGTTAAAAGATGTTTTTCCTTATGCTTAAAGTTAGTATTTGCAAGGAACAGGCGGTTATCTGAGCATAGCTGCAACAGACGGTCGCCATTATCTGTTCTTTGAGCCACGACACCATAAGATCCACCTAGGTGTCTTTCCCTATCGCTTAGTTTACCTACTTGAGCATTAAAGTCACCGGCCACTATTACTACATCCGAGCGCCTAGCTTTTCGGAGAAGGTCGGAAAGCTTTCTGTAAAACTCATCTTTTACATCATCTGAGCTGCAGTCAGTGGGAGAATAGGCAGAGACGACGAAGAGTGTCCCTATCTTTTCGGATTCTTACTGTTCCGTTCAGTCGGACAGCGCACAAACGACTGTCTACTGGGATCCACTCTAAGAGAGCTAGTTCTGCCCTAGGACTCAATGCTATACCTACGCCGGCGAGGCCACGGGAAGCAGAATCAGGGCTTCCAGATACACGAAGTGCGAATCGAGTCGGTTCTTTATTTTGGCATGGTGAGGTCAAATGAATGACGCTATTCGGATCCTGTATGCGCGTTTCGGAGACGCAGCACACATCGATGGCGCGAGGTTCTAAAATCCTAGCTAAGGAAGCCTGTTGTCCTATTTGGCCCAGTGTTCGGACGTTAAAAGCTCCTACGTGTAGTTTAGAGCGTGGTTTCAGGAGACCAGGAATAACGTTCCACGTACTCGAATCGTTTGCCCTAGCGGTGCGAGGTGATAAAGGGATGTGAGAAGGGTTAGTCGTGGAGATAAGAGAGGTATTAGGAGGTGTAGGAAGGATTTGAATGTGACCAACTTGTTCTCATGTGCTGTTACGGATATGAGGGCTGCTGTCACTTCCCGGCTGCCCACACCGTGGAAGGATATTTCTTGAGGAACCTGAAAAGGAAGTCGGATTAATGTTGGCCTTAACGACCTGGGAGCGTGATCGCAGAGCTCAAGGGACAACTGCTTGAGGCCGGTCGTGCACGGCCTTTTTGTGGGAGGTTTTTGACATGTTAGCTCCGTTCTTCAAAGGGCCTTACCGCCGGAGACGGATATCCGTGGGATAAGGCTAGGTGTTCATTTTTACGGTCGACCTTTTCTAACCCCTTCCTTCCTTGTGAGAAGGCAGCATCGCTGCAGATGCTGGTTGTCTGAAGGAAACACCTTACTGCTGTCACACCCCTCTACAGTCTGCAGTACGACTTCGCCCCCAGACCTTGAGTTGCTGCTTTTAGTCTTACCGTTCTCCAATCGACCTGCCTGGCATGGGAGAACCTACAGGGCATATGTTCCAGTCAATATAGCTCGGTTGGGTCATCGCGATAGGCAAGCCCGACCACCGCGTCAAGGTAGCAGCTACGGTCGGGACTCTGACACAATTCTGAACGAAACACGCTTTAATCCAGTCTATAGCCCACTAACAGTTATGATTTACATCAACAAATCTATTTGATATTTTGTTTACCTACAAGCAAGATTTCGTGATCTTTTTATATCTTATAGTGAATATTAATTATGGGGCTTATACAACCCTGGTTGACGGATTTTCTTTATGTAGTTTACTGAAAGTTGATTTTGTCATAATAATTAGTTTATCTACATTACTGTCGAATAATCATATATTGACTGTTTATATGTTAGATTATCGTGAAAAATTTTAATTATCCTTTTGATTTTAGTATTTCATTTGTTTTTGTAGCCTTATTTTGATAAAATATTAAATGAAATAAATAAACTTTGGATGGAAAAAATTTGTGGAAGTATGGAGAAAGGTATTCTTTTAGAAGCTTTAGTGATACTTGGGTAAGTGGCGAATGTCTCATGTACCATTGAGATATATTTGTTGTTGTTACAGATTTTCTTGATCTGTCGTCCTAATTGATGTGTTTTCTTGTTTAAGCTTTCGTGTTCCTCAGCCAATCAATGTACAGTTCAATTTTCTTCAAAGTTTGCTAGTCAATGTTTATGGTCCATGGTGTGGTCAAGATCCTTACAACGTGACACCACTTTCAGAATTATTGCGCTCATGTGAATCTGGGGCACCTGGTTTAGTCGCAGTTTTAGGCCTTGATAAACCTTCTGACCAATTGGGGAACTTTGAATCTCCATATGTTCAAACCCGGATAAATTTGAACCACAATGTTCGTTCGTTATTGGCTGTTTGTAGACGCCTCGCAGAACCGTGCAATAATCAGCAGGTATTTCGATATCTGGATATCACATCAGAGTTCCACAAACCTGTATATTTTCCTCTTACCAGTTTCCTGTATATTTTGAGACTACTTATGAATCACTTGTAGTAGTAATTAGCAGTATACGAGGCTTTTATAATTCTTATACTCTCGAAAGACCCAACTGGTTCAATGGTATAAGAATAATTCAATAAAAAGTCGCTGTTTGGTGGCGTATGATACTATCCTGGTGTGTAAACCTTGTTAGGTGAAATGTGATTTAAGGCCATGAACCTATGTTTAAAAGTTGTTTCAAACAATATGAATAGTTTATCGAACCACATTTTATTAATAATATTTACATATACAATAGTGACACGCATTTACAGAGCAAAAGTGTATATACTGAACTTCATACTGCGGTATATGTAGTGGCTGATGATGCCGTCTTGTTGCTTAAACCGAGGTCGATGATATGATGTTCGGACCTTCAAACTACCAGTTGAAAGTCAAGCACTTCAACCACTTGGTATTTTACTATTTATTCATCATACTCATCTTGAAATCCGTTGAAGCTCTAGTTTAAATTTAGATATTCTCAATGTATAAAAATATTCATTTCTTTTCGGTATCACTTTATAAGCTTGTATTCAGTCGATTCAGTTTACCCCTATAGAGCAATGTTTAAGAAGCGCAAATGAAAAAGAATTTGTCCTGAGCAATCAGTTATTAGAAAGTGTAAAAATAAGCCAAATTCACAAGCGATATCGAAACCAGTTTACCTAAATACTGTTTATTCGAAAGTAATGAGTGATCACTGTTTTTATAGTTTCAATCTATTAATCTTTTTCCTACTTTTGGCTGCACATTGATGGTACTTTGATTCTGCTCTTTTAAACTAGCTCATACATCATTTATCCAACACAAAGTACTGCTTTATCATGTTCTTCCTATCAACTTAGTAGTGCACAGCGAAATATCTTTGTGCCTTGGAACATCAACAAGTGCACCACACCTTAGCAGTAATCTATCACAATAATAAGATGTAACGGTTTGTATAGGGCTGTCGTAGGTGTTATTAGGTTCGTTAATTGTCTCCTAACTCAGAATAAGTTGATACATGAAATTCCTTCAAACTCAATTGTTTCATATATATGAAGGTTCAAAGTAGCATGTACACTAATTATTGTTAAATCCAGTATAATTATCTAAGGCCTTCATCATCACTATTTTGTTTCATTTATCCAGCTTGAAAATATTTCACTACCCATCTTGGAACCCGTTTTATCACCAGTTTTACATGTTCTTCGGTAAGTACCATCATAAATTGTCTTTTTGGTCTTTTATAGGTAATTCATCAATATTTGTGAATATGTTCATTCATAATTAATTTTAATTCGTATTTACTGAATTGTTTTGTAACTTAGAGCATTTAACGAACTTTGGTTACCGGAAACACTGAAACTAGTTCATCCAACTTTACTTCCTGTATTACAACATACAGATGAAATTCAACTATGTTTACTGAATTCTCAATTTCAAAATATACTCAAAGTAAGTAGTGATGTAAAATAAAAAAACATATATTCCCCTGTAATTAGTCGTACTTATTATTTTGTCAGACGATGGCTGAGTATCTGTATTTCCTTGTTCACAGAATATTTAACATTATTTACGCTTTTTGTTTGCTAAAAGGTTAAATAAACAGTTATATTGATAGGAGAATTATGTGTATGAAACAGTTATATAATAAAAATGGTAAAATAAAATTAAACCAAGCAATTTTTGTCTTTAAAATGATTTACAAGTTGATTTTGTATTCATATGAAGTTGGACTAAGCGAATTGAGATTGTTATGTATGTTTATCACTCCACTTAACTAAATAGTTGCATTAATATTAGTTAAACGATTAGAAAGCAGAAAATGTACAGTGTTCTCACAAAATGGTTACATTTAGTATCCAGGTGTGACTATTTGCTTGACCATCAGAGAAAAAGCGTTAGACAAGCGCATGGACACTACTATTGGGAACCTTATGAGACAGCAAAAGGTTTACATCCAAAAACGGCTACACTATTATTGCTCACAAAATTAGGTGAGATATGGCGTGAATTCACTCCTTGGTAGTTGATTTATTCGTTCCGTAAAACAGTAAATATCTTAGATATTATAAAACCAATTATTAATCTCTAGCTTCAGTGGGTTACTGTTGTAGTATATTGCAGAGATAGCTGAATGTGGAGTTTCAGGGACTGGTTTTAGTTCGCCGACTGCCCATAAAAGAAAGTTTTACTAATAATATTATCCGTTATTCTACCTGAAGAAACCTTGTTCTTATAGATCGAATCACAGACTGACCTTAGGTAGACTACCACTGTAAGCCAGGAAGCACTGGGCAGCTGTTTCGTTTTCGTGTGGAACACTTTAACAGTGCGGATTCACAGCTCCGGCGTCAGATACTGAACTCATAACCTTCGGTCTCGTATGCGAACGCCTAACCTCTAGACCACTAAACTGGAATCCAGAAGTATACATTTTCGAAGGTCTTCGTTCGGTCCTCGATGGCGGGGTTATAAATGAGCACTGATGAGGTGTTTCGTATCAGGACGAATCAGTTTTCTAGTACTTCTTGGTTTTCAATCATGATCCAGCTAATATCGTTTCGTAATTTAATCTATGAAAATGTAACAAACTCCACAAAACCCTCATACTACATCCCGTTCTGTATGTATTTATTATCTGTTTATTGTTTTTAATAGTCTGTAGATGTTACGAATCCTTCGTTACACCGATTGCGCACTTTTCTCAATGACTGTCATGAGAACTTAATGGGGATAGTTGGCTTTTTATTTGTTTCGTTGGGATCGAAATTCTATCGTTTACCAACCGAACAGTTAAGAATTGCATTGCACGATGGTTGCTGTGCTGCATTTGAATATTTGCCTGACCTCAAGCTAAATAGTCTTCTACGTATCCTTTAAAAATACTGCATTATTCTTATTCTTATTACTATTATTATTAAGTTCGACGTGAACATATCATTGCTCAATAAAACCACTTTGGGATCACGATTCTTTACCATTATCCGAGCTTCGAATATGCGAATGAAAAGCTATAAATGATAAAGTAACTAATATTTATCCCATATACAAAAAATTTATACCTCTTAAAGTGTTTTGTGGTATTATATTGTCACAAACAGCTGCGATAGTTCATCCATATTAATAATTTTCCAGTTATTGAGACTGTCAGTTGATTATTAATGTTAAATTTTATCAATGACATGTATGGCTAACACATGCTAAAAAGAACATGTTTTCATTTAATGCTACCTATATGGTATAATTGTTTAAATTCATCCTACTTAATGCACTAAAATCTTCAAATGCCCTCAGCCTATATTTTTCTTAACTGTCGTCAATTAACCTAGGATCTATTCTTCGTCCATTTATCCGTCAGTGTCCTAGACAGCATTTTGAAACTGCCATCGCTCCCTTGGTCCCACCAGTAATTGAAGCTGCTATTAAGGTAGGATCATTACTATCCTCATGTTCTCACAGGATTATTCACATCTCAGATATGATTAGACGGATCATTAACGAAATCACCTCCATTTATTTAATTGATTTTTGGATAAAAACATCATGCTAAGCATAAAGTATGTACTTCGTGTAATAAACCTATGACGTAAATAGGTAAAACTGACCGTTTAGATCACTGAATTCTGGATTATTAGTTTAAGCACACTGTATTTGACATAAGTTCGGTATTGTGTAGGATTGTGCACATATGTGTGTTAACTGCTTAGAAGCCTTAAAAAGCTATGACCAAATAACTGTGCCACCCTAATTCTCCAGCCGATATCTGTCTTTAGTGTAAACTACTTTCAAATAAAATTTCCGATTGCATTTGTCATAGAAAGTTTTAAGGATTCATTTTATTTCATTTCATTGAGATTTTCAACTTTCCCGCTTTCAATGATCATAACCAAGCTTTAATTTGGATATATTCAAGGGAGTAGAGATTAAATACATTTTTTTAGTTAATCGTAAAGTTTCAGGTTAACTCGTCATATCCAAGTTAAATTGGCAGTAAAAAAGCGAGTGTAGCAATGTAGCTGAATGTTTCACTAAAATGCTATCACTTATTCTCATACTGATGTAAAAGTTGTGTTTACCTGAATTGATAAGTTGTGACATTTTATTCTCGTAAGAGCTTCTCTAAGCCCACAGTTCTTCAACCAAATTCTCAAAGATTTTAAATTTTAGCGTGCTATAATTAACTTATACTTTAGATTAAACATATAATAATAATTCTTTCTTCAAAAAGTTTATTATCAAGTAAAACTCAAACCTTGTTATTACATATCAGTGAGCGCATGTTTCAGGTTTTAATTGTGCTTTGTATATAATGTTTGTATGAAAGAGATCAGTTCCAGCTATCAGTAGAATCCACTGCGCGCGTTCCATATTATTTGGGATTCATCAAAAAAATGTACCTTTACCGCAGTGATGTTTATCACAGCTGATGAATCCCAAAAAGGACGAAGCATACACTTTGGATTCTATTAACTGCACTTGATCTCTTCCGTAAAACTTTGCGGGAAATTTCTTTTTTAAGGCTATCTCAACAAGCTGCTTATATCCCAACTAAGGCTGATCAAAATTAAGTCAACAATATGACTAACGGGATAATCTTAATCTATCATAATAATGATGTTTGTATACAATGATTTAAGCAACTGAATTGTTTCGTCTGGATTTTTCATGAACCTGTTAGTAGTATATATCCAGTTAACTGTAAACTAACTTAGCTATATAAATTTCTCATAGTGCTTCGATTTCGATTTTTTCAGAGAACTGAAGCAAGATGGAATGAATTAATCATGGCCGAGTATGTTTACGTATTCCCACAATCTAATGTCAAATATTATATAACTATGATGACAGAATATGAATTTTTATTACTTATGTGTACAATTCCTGTTTCTTTATTCACACATTCATGTTTGTTCTGATTATATTTCCGCTTAATTAATTTAATGAAAATTAAAATTCAAAAACCTACGAATAAACTTGTTTTATAGACTACATATGATCTACTTGTGAATAAATGAAAATAGCCCAAAACGGTCTTAGAAATCTGCGTAACGCAATTTTGTAAAATAGGAAAAATTAAAATTATTTGTACGTTCTTGACTACAGACACAAAACAAAGACACCGTTTTAGACAAAATTTCTACCTTATAAGTTAACTTTGTTAGGGTATTCTTGTCATTCATGACATTGACGACCAGAAAACGTTTATGACTCTTGTTGGATCAACTAGCTTATCTCTGTATAAATAAGTAAATTGTTGCTTTTTAGTCTGTTTCAATGAATCACTCTTTGAATGGTTAATAGGTAGGATACTGACCACGAGAGTTTTGTTTTTAAAAAAATCACGACGAGAAGATTTTTCTTCAATTAATTGTTACGAGAGATCTTAATTTATGACAATTGGAAATTGGTCTTTTTCATGAACCCGCAGCTAGATCACCCCTGATATTCACGTTTTTTGTCGACTATTTTGTGTTACATCAGTGTGATATAGGACATTTAATTCGTTCATTTATCTTGAATCCTAGTCATGTTCCATATTTAATCAATGAGATGAATAATTTTTTGTTGAACAATACCGAAATCAATTTTAAAATATAATTTTTATCTTAAATTGTTTACTTTTCAGAGGACGTATCTGTGATGATGAAAAAGCAGTTGCAGCTGAACTTGTACTAGACAGATCAACTCGTCTGTTAAGTCGAACGTGTTTGGATATATTGCGTAAGCTATTGATTTTTACCATCTTTAGTGGGGCCATACATTTAGACGTCAATTAAATTGGACGATGTTGTCGATAGGCTTACCACTTTTGTGGCCCCATATCTGACTCCGGTTATATCGTATGAATGTCTTGAGCGTTGTTAGAGGTTATCACTTCCCGGTTGCCCACACCGTAGAGGGGTTCTTCTGGAGGTCTTGGAAGTGAAGACGGAGGTTGATTATGAATACAGTGGTCTTGAGTTCTGTTAGAGGTATGAGGGCAGTTATCACTTTCCGGTTGCCCACACCGTGGGAGGGTTGTTCTGGAGGTACCTAAAGAGGAAATTGGATTAGAGGTCGTCTTAGTAACCTGGGAGCGTGACCGCAGTGCCCAAGGGACAACTACTTGAGGTCGGTCACACACGACCTTTTTATGGGTAATTTTTGTGTTAGCTCCGTACTTGTTGAGACCTTACCGCCGGAGACGGATATTCGTGGGATAAGGCTAGGTGTTCATTTTTACGGTCGACCTTTTCTAACCCCACCCCTCCTTGTGGGAAGGCAGCATCGCTGTCATGCTGGTTGTCTGAAGGAAACACCTTACTGCTGTCACACCTCTGTTCAGTCAGCAGTACGACTTCGCCTTCAGACCTTGGGTTTGTTGCTTTTAGTCTTACCGCTCTTCAACCGACCTGTCTGACATGGTAGGACCTTGAGAAACGGTTGTTCCAGCCAGTAAAGCTTGGTTGCTTCATCACGATAGACAAGCCCGACCATCACGTCAAGGTAACAGCAACGGTCGGGACACAATTAAATATGGATGGTTGTCGTCGGAATATATATGTCGCCTATCCTCCTAAATAACCATCGACTGAAATCGCCTTAGTGAATAACGGAATTAAATAAGTCAAATACGAGAATGGATTTCGAATACGTATATTTTGTACACTCACTGATCTGGACAGACAATCAGAGGAACGAAGCAAAGAGTAAAGCGAAATGACGCGCGGCGGAAAAGGCGTGTGAGCCAACTCTATTTGGTCAAGCGTTAATGAATATTTATAGTCACAAAAATAAGCTACAAACATGTGGTGAGTAGGATAAGATGTACACACGCAACACTCATATAAAAAGCATTCAAAGTTGATAAGTGAGTAATTAACAAGGTCAAAACGTGGCTCAAGAACAATGGATAAATTGACCTGTCCAGAAGTTAGAATAAGTTACATGTGCTTAACATATTAACCGACACTACACATCAGCCAATTAAATGTTTGTTGTTACAGTATTAACGATTTACTCATAATACCTTAGAATTGTTTAATATTTAATAAAATCATATAGTTTATACTATTAACATGTAGCTTGTCGTGTGTTTTAATGTTTTTCTATTTGTCTCTTCAACAATATTCTCCCTTTACTTCGATAACACATAGTTAATAGTTTTGGACGAAGTTTTTAAATTCAATACATTTACTCTCGTGTATTTCTTTTAATAGACAAGTTAAACTAGTATACAGCTTAAGATCGTATATATTAAGCATATAAACTCTAACTTCGTTTTTCATTTCGTCAACCTGTAAAAGACAACCTAGAAAATTATATTTTTATCTATTATGTTAATTTATTATAAGCTTGTTTCGTTTCCATGATCATTTTTATATATTTGCCTATTCTGGATGCTAGTGATATAATATTTAGTATTAAAAAAAGGGATTTTATGGTTTACCTTTCTTCAGTTTATAAATCTTTAAGTTGAATATATCAACATCTGACGTTGAAGAATCAATTATTTCAGGGTAGTAAAACCATTTAAAAATATACACTGATCCGTGTGTTTTCAACACCTGTTTCTTGGTAAATAGAACTCTTTTATCTTCAACTCTGTGTAATATCTCTAGAAAAACTTATACAAAATTCTGTACACAGAATTACACCTCGTTGCAATAAATTATTCTACTACATAAACTTAGTTGTTTGCAAATATCTGGACTATTGATTCTGTTTTCTAAAAACAGTTTTCAATTAAACATTTGATTCAGTTTGTAATTAAATTTTTATTTCAACTCCATTTATATTATATTAGTCTTCGATTATTAATCTCACAACTTCAATTGACATATAAACCTATTCAAGTTAATATTGGATACTAGACATCCCAACATTAATAAATTTAAGGACGAAGAATGTATATGTAAAATCTCAGAGAATGAGATTGAACCAAATTGCCAAGCGAAACGTTGGATTTACTTCAAATTCATTCTGTGATTTTACAAATACATTCTTCCTCCTTGATGTCTCACATCAACTCAGCGATCAAATACTGTGAAACTATTCGATTGGTAACTTTACTTTGTTATGCTAATAAACTTAAATTCGCATGCTATAATTGCAAATATGTATTTGATTGAAACTTGACCATTACTTTGTATCGTTGTTTTGCATTTAGAACTGTAAAAGCTGATGAACATTTAGTGAAAAGAGCATTCGTTCATATATCTGTTTTGGTATGATTATTAAATTAATTTGTTTTTGTTTATTTTAGGCTTGATTTACACTTTCAATGGCTATGAAATATCTGAACAATTTAATCCTCCCAAGGAAGATGATGGAAAGTGCGATGATGATAATGATGATGTAGACATGTCAGAAAGTATATGTGCAAATGGTCAGTCGGGTACAAATAGTCCACTTGGACATTTAACAAAATTATTGGCAAATATGCACGCTATGTCATCGGAACCAGACTATAATGCACAGAATCTTCCTTCAGATCCTTTGTTCTTACGTTCATTAACGAAAATTTTAGCTTGGCCTGATACTTCAATTTGCTCTAGAGCTGCTCAATGGATATCAATTCTGGTTGAGATGGTTAGTTTTTTGGAAAACCATGAAATTTGGTATTTTTAGTCAGAAAATTTATCATGAAATTATTTTGTATCGCTAGTCGTTTTGTTGTCGTGTAGTAGCTGCGCTTCGTTAACCAATCACCCTCGTAATCGTCATCATATAATCCTCAACGGTGTTTGAAATCAGGAGGAAAAGAGAAGTAGCGACTACAGTTTTTATTAGCAGATAACTCAGACCACAAAGCAGAGGCGAATGAGTGAGTCAGCGAGCCGAAAGAGTATGTAGGAATAAATGTAAGCAATGTTCAAGCACACATATTTCATACAAGCACAACAACAATGAAGGTACAATAATTTGTTATAGTAGGGACGACTCTGTCCGCCAAATAAGTTAAGAAAAGGGCTTGACCGAATTAAATGAGAACAAACTCAATTGCACGTGAGATGCTATAATCGTTAATTAGTAAGCGCTGTCATACTCAGCTTTTATTACTTATCGAATTCTGTCGATCATTTTTACACTAGGATTACAAACTGGATATCTTGATGCTATTTGTTTGATGTTAATGTTTAGTCTAGTTGACTGCACTGCAAAGTTGGTTTATTGAATTTGATCGGTTTTCAAAAATTCGATAACGTGATAGTGCAGTAATATCGTCATATACTCACCAGCAGAAAACGTAAGGTTGCAGCTTCCAACGAATAATGATAGAGTTAAACATCTGTTACTATACAGTTGATGCCAATCATTTGCTTACGATATAACTCGATAAGGAGATTCATTTTCTTCTGGTTAAGTTAGACAACAAATGTTCAACGTATTTAATCTTCTCTGGTATTATAGTGGTGCAGAAATTTACAGGTTTTATGAATTGCATTGTAACACCATATTTTCTATCATTTTAAACTCTGCTCCGCGTGCTCCAGTTTTAGGGACCAAATAATGTCACCTGTCCTCATATCTAATATGTAGCTCAATGGTGACTTCGTTAATTCATATCTGTCTGTTAATTTACACTGAATAGTTGATGTAAGTGATATTTTGATTAGTGAGTAGTCAACTTTTCCATGAAGCCTTACCAACCCTTGCATTTGATCTTCCCTCATTGCATTAGTACGTCTTGTAATTAAATAAAGTTTGGCTAGTTTTCTTATTGTATCAGTTTCACCATAATTATATGTAAAACCGATAATTAAAATCTACTTTCATCTGTGTTTTTTGACAATTCATTTTGAAAGCTGACAATACCGTCACCCAGACTAATTGTGGTCCAAAAATTGCTACTACACATTTATCTCCTAATATTGCAGAATTTATTTTATTCGGAATCTTATGTGGTCTACATGTAAATGGTAAAAATGCTGAAAATGCTTTAAACTGTTTATTATATGCTGGAATTAAAACTTATCTATCTGTGGATGTTATTGTGGCCAGACAAAATTTACGATCTGTTGTAATTCGCGTTTTAATGGATACATTAAATGGTGATAAAACTAAAGAAGGCCAAATACAACAACAAATTCAAGTCAGTATTTTTTTCTCTGTGGAAATGTATTCGTTTTACTATTGTTATTAATAATTCCTATGATTTATTTATTCTATTCATGACTATATAACTGAATGTTGAAATATCCCATTACTAGTGTTTGGTACACATTTCTTCATATGTGTATTTATTCGTCATTTATACCGTTCTTGTATTTGATTCGTAAATTGTCATCTCTTTTCCTTCTGCAAAATCATCATAATATAGATCCTAATCATCATCAACATATTCTGTATATAATTTTGGGAGTTCGATTGATTCTGTTGCATTTCTAGAATTTTTACTATTTTTCAGTTAGTTGCTCCATTTATGTATGAATGGAAAAAAGCGTTCAACTATCATAAAGTGTCTAATCATAGTATGTATTTTTTGAAGTGACCTACCATACATTAACATTCTTATTGTAGATTTCTATGTAGATTCCAGGTAATGTCTGTTTTCAGTATCCTTTTAGAAATTTACATGAAAAATTCTCGTATCGTAAATTGCATAAATTGTGAAGAATTTTAACCCCTGATAGCCTTGAATTAAAAATGTAATAGGTTAACGAAACATTAAAAAAACCTCTGTAACAATGAAAACTACTTTTTCCGCAATGTACATGCAGTTGTATGTGTAGTCCAGCATACTTTTATAATAATTCCACGTTTATAATATATATTGAGAAGATGGATAGCTACGTATTTAAAAGAACATTTAATTGAGTTGCATATTATTACAGTAATCAGTTTTTGTTTAGAATTTTCAAATGTTGAAAAAATCCCCGTTACAAACTTTTTACAAATTCTAGATTTTTGAGGAAAAATGTTTGGTAACCGAGACAAACCGGCAACAATGCGGGCGAGGCGTGATGCTTTTAAAAAAATAGTCGACCCTATATTGGAGTAAGTTGTTTTCTGACGCTATCATTTGATTTTTTATGACCATTTCAAAACTTTTTCTATTTCGAAGTGTAACTAGAAAGCCATTCATAACTATTCTGTAACAAACTTCACTTCAGCCGTCATAATGTCTCATTTCCCGTATTGCGTGAATGGTCTGGAGTATATTAAGTTAAGACTTCTTGAACTGAACAACACAAGTGTACTTCCATTTTACAGAAATAAGCATACAGAATCCTCTAGATTCCTCCTCACGTGCCCTGGTGCACCCGACGGTGGAGTGAGTCCGCTCTCTCTTTCGAAATGCTCTCACATGACCACGCGTATACAGCTACTGCCAGAGAAGTCCTACTCACTACCTTTTCGCGACGCGAGTGTTGTTTACGAAATTGAGAGGACGAAAAGTGAATGTTTGGCGCTTTAACTGCGTTGGTGGGCACGGAGGGTCCACCTAGAGGAGTTGGGAAACCCTGATCCCAAACAATGATGCACATGGGCTCAAGAATCATATGGTGGCAAATGGCGTATGGACCAATCTTTGGTCACTGGCTACCATGGGACTGCATCTCCTTACGTTACTCCATCGCCTTATGGATCAGATCTTTGGGTCGAAGGGATACGGGTGTGGTCCCCTAAGAAAACCACCTGATTCCGTCTGGGCACCCGGGCTGTATCACAGCCCACATACAAATCAAATGTAATGACAATTAATTCTGAAAATACTATTCTCGCTTCAATTAAAATCGGACAATTCATATTCACTATTTTTTTTATATACTACGTCACTTATCTACTCTCTTCTATTCTAACATCATGTATCCTTATTTTTCAACTTACATAGCAGCTCAACCATAGTGGAAACTATGTTCTATCTAAACGATTTCGAGTCATAGACTAGTTGGAAATTGCATGCTACCACCGAATGCGAATACTGAAAACACGTATACCATTCAGACTGGCTGCCTTCAACCTTCACATACTAATGCAGGTTGGACAACAGATAGGGCTGGCTATGTCTTTAGAAAGTCTTAATATCGATGTTTGCTGACTATCCGAGACCCGTATTCAAGACTCTGATGAAGTACTACAAATTCGCTCTCAATCTGTCTCTTCAAAAAGCTCGTTTCACGTGCGTTTATCTGGGGACCTTGTGGCATTTTCATCTGGTTTTTTAGGCATTGGTGTCGAACTAAGCGCTAGAGCTGAGGCAGCACTGATCAATTGGATCCCCATTAACAGTCAGTTATGTGCTGTTAAATTAGTAAGTTCCATCAAATTGAGAAAAAATCGGTGTGGGAAACGATGTCTTTTCGTCATCTCCGCCTATGCTCTGACAGATTGCAGCTCAGACGCGATCAAGGCTGAGTTTTACCGCTAGTTAACTGTTCTTCTACAGAAAGCGCGTTTGACTTGAGTGCTCAGGTCGGGCGTCTAGACACAGAAGAAAGTGGTTTAGGTGGCCGATGGGAACTTTTTGGTCCCAGGTCTGACAACGGGGACCATCTACTGCGACTGTGCGCAGACTACAACCTGTTTATGGCTAGCACTGACTACCGACACATCGTCGGTGTGCTACTCAGTGTCCTTCATTCCTCATGTCTGGACTCAGATTGATCACATCGCGATCAGCTACCGCTGGCGTGGTTGTGTAAAAAAAACTGCCGCTTCTTTTGGAGTATCTATCTGGACTCTGACTATGCCCTGGTCTGCGCCAATCTTACCTTACTTTTCAGTGGCCAACGAGGTGATCATCACCAAAGGATTGATGTCAGCAGGTTGGTTGCAACTTCTGTTGCAAGTAAGTATTGAAACGAGCTAGCTTCTAGGCTAGCTCTCATTCCACCGAAAAGAATAGATGAGCATTGGTTGCAACTACATGACGCCATGAAAATGGCGAGTAAAGCCGCTTACAGCTTTGCGAAACGTCCCGCTTACAAGTGGGCTCCTTACAACTCATCGAAGCACGTCGGTCTACTCCGGGTGGCCGTGAGTTTGACCACAAACGAAGGATGTTACGTAGTGAAATCGGGCAAAGTTTGCGTAAGGACCGAGAAGCCGGGTGGTCGGAGCGTGCTAATGAGCTGGAAGCAGCAGCTGCATCTGGTAATTACCGGAAGCTCTTTCAACTCATCCGAGACACTGGCAGCAAGAAATCTGGTGTGAGCGAAGCATTATGTGAGGATCATGGGATGCCAGTCACTAACATCCATCGACGTTTTGGAAGATGAGCAGAATTCTTCGAAGGGCAGTTCAACTGGTCTGCTGCTCCGGCAACATCAATCAGACTGTCCTGCCCTCCATAGCCGGTGACGGCTGATCCACCAAATGAGACGGAAGTCCACAAAGAACTCCAACTCTTGAAGCCATACAAATCACCAGGTTCAGATGACTTACTTCTGGCTTTTTTAAAGATGTTGGTGACTTTCTGGTTAAGGAACTAACCGAGTTGTTTAGAAACATCTGGCAATTATAGGGTGTTCCTACATCATGGAATGTTGTCCCTATCTTTGAAAAGGTTTCACATCTTTTCGGTTAGAATTATCGGGGATAAGTCTACTTTCGATCACCTCCAAACTGTTGGCCTCCGTCATTTTTCGTAGATCGTTCAAAACACAAGAAAGACGGACTCGTGAGAAGTTGGTTGGTTTTCGTTCTGGCTGAGGATATATTGATCATATCTTCATCCTCCGCCAAATGTTAGACCACCTTCCTACTTATCACAAGCCGACAATCGTAGTGTTTCTTGAAATTAGGGCCGTTTTCGATTTGTTGGACGGGACTGTCCTCTGGGATTGTCTATTGATGAAGGGTGTGCCTGAGAAGTCTATTAACATCTTAATAGCCCTATATGCAAACACCTCTGGTAGAGTGAAGGCATACAACCACTTTTCTCAATTGTTTCTTTCAAGCAGTGGTATTAGACAGGGTTGCTCAACCTCACCATTCTTCCTCAACTTTGCCATCGATGACGTGTGTGGATCTGTTGCTTGGAGAAAAATTTCTCAATCTTGAGTATGAGGATGATATCTTACTGTGCTATTTTACCCAAGCCATGCAATCCGCACTTAATCAGTTGACAATCAGTGTTCGTAGGTATGATATTTGCCTTGCACGTTCTAAGTGCGGAGTACTTTTACAAGACTGGCAGGAATCTGATTCTTGTATCGAAAAGAATTCTGTAATATTCATTCACCGTTTTTCCCTTTTAGTATGTAGTTTAGGTTTTAATTGAAATTTCCACTCTATTTCAGTGTATATGGAAACAGGAATAGTTGTTCTTTTAAAATTAGGTAACACTGATCCATGTTATATGCTGTATTGAACACATTGTTTTCGTTTTAGGTTCCTCTCAGCCAACGTTTTCGTAATGAATTTCAAATACACAGTATACCTCCTCTACACCGACCCAAGTGGATTCGTATACGTGAGAAAAGGGATACATCACATATTGAAAACGATTTCGGTCTTACAAATTTATTTACTAATGCAACTAACTAAATTGGAGAAACTATGATTGTGTACATTTCTTATTAATGAAGTTTTTGTTTCCATTTCTTTTACACCTCTAACATCAATAATTGCTTTTGCTATAACTGAAATTTTATACCAAAGTTGACAAAACAGTCAGTAGTTGATGTCGTTTAAGTTCAGCATAATAAATCCTGACTTAAGTGTCAATCATAATCATCACTGTAACTCCGCCCTTCTAGGTTTAATGCCTTGCTAAAAAACGCTAACCAGAATTAACAATTTGAACTCTGCCTTGAGAGTTGAAGGATCTTCATTTAGAAGAATTATAACACCTCATGTTAAATGCCGAGATTCTTCGGAAGTCACGAGGCCGATGCCCCTTCTAACAACCAGAGGAACAATTAATATAGGTACATGGAATGTCTGGATAACGTGAGACAGTGAGGACTAATCAAATAGTTACGGAATTGAGGAGATACAACTTGGAGGTGCTCGGAATAAGTAAAACCGACTGGACCCAAGCTGGGCAGAAAAGATAAGGTTCAGTAGAAACGCTGTTCTACTCTAGTCATGAAGAATAAAATGCTTCGCACACACAATGTGAAGGCACGGATTGGCAAAGCAAGGGTAGTATTTCACCATTGAAGAACGTATGGGACTCAAAACAACTGTCAGCCAACATCTCTTATGCGAACATCAAGATAGTTCTATTGTACGGAACTGGAACTTGGAGAACTACTGGAAGCATCATCAGGAAGATACAAGTATTTATAGACAATTGTCTACGCAAGATACTGAATGTCCGCTGACTAGATACCATCAATTACAGCCTACTGTAGGAGAGAACAAACCAACTTCCAACTGAAGAGGAAATTAGGAAAAAGCGCTGAAAGTGGATAGGACATACATTATGGAAATCACCAAACTGCATCACGAGGCAAGCGCTAACTTTCGATTCTAAAGGGAAACAGAAAATCGGAAGACCAAAGAACACGTTGCGCCGGGAAATGGAAGCAGACATCGAAAGGATGAATAGGAACTGGAAAGGAGGATTCAAGTGTTGGATGGAGAATGCTGGTGGGTGGCTTACGCTCTTACACAGGGTGTGACAGGCGTCCGTAAAAAAAGTGTACCTCATTCTGAGAACTGTTGCGTAAGACACTTCCTATGATGGTTAATTTTTAAATAATGTAAGTACTGCATTTATTTTTATCCTTGCAATGGATAGACAATTCCCATTTAAACATTAAAAACACGACGTTTAGCGACAGAATCTCTTTCCAACGAATTTATTATCAAGCTGTACAATGTTGTTAAAATCTTAAGAACAAAGGGATAATAACCCCAGACTTATATGATCACATTCGTCCGACGGGTTCGACCACCACGCGCTTACCGGAAGTACATAAACCTGTTTTGGATATGTCGAGCTCACCATGTTAATGAATCGGCCAATGTTTGATGAAAGAAATTGGAACTAGTTAGAAGGCAAGTATCTAAATATTCTACCCAAGATACTTTTTAATTTACTGATCGTGTTAAGGACGTTAATACTTTGAAAAACACGTGTTCTTGTGTGGCGTTAATTCTTTGTTCACTAGTGTACCTTTAACTGAAACGATATGCCATATATGTGAGTATATTGGTTTTAACAACATAGATCTAAGTCTGCCAACTGACCACTTGAAAGAACTACTATTACGTCGTACCTTTAATGTCCGATTCAGTTTCAACAGTGAAATATGTAGACAAAGAGATGGGGTCCAATTTGAGCAGACTGTTTTATGGCAAAACTGCATAATTAAGTTCGATGATTAATAGATTCCATCTATACGTAAGATACATGGACGACACATTTGTGACGATAATATTGAGTTGGGAGATATCGTACACTCGTTCAACACATGCTAGTCTTCACCTTAGAAAGCGATGAGGAAGAGTAACAGTCCCTTAAAAAGATCCATATTTTGACTACAAACATGGAATGGCCAGCCGACCAAATTCTACAGCTGAATTCCTTTAAGCAGAAAGAGAAACCTTATTTACCGAATACATCGGATATGTTATATGGAATGCATTGAGGAAGAACTCGCATTCCTCAGGAAGACTCCAACGGAAAATCACTATCCAGACAGCTTCATAGATAAGAATATGAAGAGTAGTTTTGACGGAATCCGGTTGCTTCGTTTATAAAAAACCATATAAATTTGGAATTTAGAGGTGATCGAACATTTGATGTAATCAAGAATCGGTTAACGACAGTGACAAAAAGAACATTATGCGGCAAAAGAGAATAACGTTCACAAGTAGTAGCTTGTTTTCTGTATCCATAAATGATAAGCTTTCTCGTCTGGTTGCCTCCATGTGCAACATCTACCAGTTTACCTGCTCTTGTGGAGTAAGGTACATTGGCTGTAGCCAGCGCTCGCTTACAACTCTGACATGGGAACATTTCCCAGTGTGGTTTTACAAGGTTGAGAGGAAAGCAGTTACAAGTTTCATATTTAAACATATAATCGACTGTAATTATTCTGCTGATTCATAGTTTAATTTTAAGGTTGCATATACGATTCGTCTAGATCTATCTAGATTTCGAATCCAACTCCAAAAAATAGCCGAAGCTCTTACTATCCATGACCTCAAGCCAGAACTATACGTACAAAAAAGTACATCCTATCGTTACCTTGGCCTTAATTTTTTTTATTATCGCATTTCTCCCTTATGCATCACATTCTCATTATTTTATTAATAATTGCTCACATCACTTCATTTATTTCCCACCTCTATTACCTTTAATTGCCTACAATTACTGTAACAAATCATACTACATTCATGTAATAATTCGTTAATAACTCATTAAGTCTAATGTTATTATTCGTATCACGTAATCTAGTATTATAATCTTTCTACTACATCATCTTTGTTATTCCTTGTTCACATTTCCTCACGGAACTAGTAATTTTCATATTTATATACGATTGTACCGCTTGATTATAAATTCGTTGGAAAGAGATCCTGTCTCTGAACTTCGTGTTTTTCTATCCTATTGGTGGACAAGTAGTAATCGACAATCTATCACTGAAACATTATCATCGGGACGGACAAATAACTACTGTATATTTTGATCCTTGTTAATTGCTGGTAAAGCATTACTCCGATAATTTACAAGCAAACGATTGTATGTATACGCAAATAAAATAATAACAGTCAGCTATTTATACGGAAATCCCATTACTTTCAGATTGAATTAACTCATTACATGGATGGCATCTAGCATACTTCTTTTTGGTTTATTGATGGTAAACCCGTGTATGTAAAAATCAGATATGCATCACAACCTGTCCCTAGATTTTCTCAGACACCAGGCTTGATGAAAGTTCCAAGAAAAGTTGTTGTCACATGACCCTTCAAATATCACGTGATCAAAGTAATCAGAATACCAGCCTCCATGACTTTGTTTATATACAAGCAGACCAGAACGCATCATATCACAAAATGAAAAATAATAATAATACAAGGTCAAGCCGAAAGTGGCTGTGAGTATAGAAGACTGCAACTAATAGATTGGGAATAAATTAATAATGATATGTCGTATGTTCAAATGATAAAGGAAATATGAATGTGCATACATAATCTAGTTAATTAATAATTATCTAATAAAAATATATGATAGTCCATAAATAATTCTTGGCGGTTGTTACTATTCCTTTGTTCTCCGTTCGGATATAACAAAAGTAGAGTTGTCAACTGCGGTGAATAACTAATGCACCTACTGTATATTTAAATATTTTATGTTGTTTAAACCTATCATAATAATACAACACAATCTCATACTGCATACCTCGAATTTGAGTTTTTGATTTTGTTAAAGTTCTATTTCGTTATTTCAAATTCATACCAACGCACCCAACTAAATGACTCAATATGGTCACTCTGCGGTAATACGGACCTGGCCGTCTTGCATTTAGAGTGAAAGAAATACATCCCGGAAATGCTTTTCTGCATGCTCAAAATGTTTTTAGAACTGCATTATATCGAAGTTAATGCCATCTGGATATTTAAAATCGATAAGCGAGTCTCTGGATGATTAATCTCTGAAAAGTTAGGCAAAGCAAGTAATCCTTACGGAGATATCTATGGCGAGTAGTGTGCATCTATGAGCACCAACTAAGTAAATTTGGAGAAACTGGACCTTCAAACGTTTCTCCAGGCCTTGGAAGAATTCTATAACCTGAAATTTACGAATAATCATTTTTTCCCGACTCATTGAAATCATGAACCGATCAATGTTAGACCACCTTTGAAAACATGGAAGCGCTGGACGGCTGTTTCATCTCAGTATGGAACTTCACAGCAGTTCAAATCCACAATTCCGCACACAGGATCCGAACCCAGAACCTTCGGCGTCGCGCGCGAACGCTTAACCTCTCGTCTACTGAGCCGGCATCCAAAGGTGTTAATGTCTAATTCCAGTCAAAAGGTTTATTCTCTTTAAAATGCCTATTTTTCTCTAGCGATATCCATTACCCACTTGTATTTCTTCTACTACGTCTACTTCTCCCCACATATTTGGCCGCTATTGAACAATATGAGCTCAAACTTAAAAATCCGACCCTTATAACATTATGTCTATATATTTTAGGGTTTTTAAGAGTGTATATTGGTCGCACTAGATTCTAGAGTCATAGCTAAAGAATCCTGTTAGAGGATTTGAGATGGAGTTCGAGCTATGAAGCCTCCAATATGTAATTTGGAGGGTGGTTTCAGTAGACCAAGAATATCATTTCTTGAACACTGGTGTCACACGCAGGAAAGAGGAAGAAGGTTGCTAGTAAGAAGAGGAAATATTTCGGAATAAATAAGTTCAATTTTGAAAACGATGAGCTTGAGTGCCGTAATAAAAATGAGGATAATATCACTTTTCGGTAGTCCATAATGTGGGACGATATATCTTCTTGAGGTACCTGGGAAAGAAAACAGGTTCAGTGGTAATTTTGATGAGCCGGGAGCATGGTCACAGAACCTAAAATAAAACTGCTAAAGAGTTAAATACAGACGGGCTATCAACGAGTAGTTTCAAATGTGTGAACTCTACTTTTCAAGCAGTATTACTTGAGCAGGAAATTCGTTGGGCAAGGTGATATACGCTGTTTATATGGCAAATATTTGTTAACGCTTTCATTCCGTTGTGAGAGAGGAGCGTCGTGGGGGTTGTCGGCTATTTGTCGAAAACAATTTGCTGGCATCATATCCTAGCACAGGTGGTAGCACAAGTTCCTTCTCAAACTCTACGTTTCCTGTCTCATCTTCAGTCATCCCTGTGTCGTAGAATTACAAGGAACAAGATAATTGTTGGGTCGTCACGACAGCCAAGCCTAATTGCCTTGTCAAGGTACCAGCTATGGTCTGGCCTGTAAGCTGATGCCCCGAATAAGCTTAGTACCTGCCTAGTAAGGACATGAAGACAAAATAATGATGGTTAATTATACAAGCAATTATCAACATAATTATGTGAATATTTTACAATCAAGATAAGGATTGAAAAGAAAAATAACCCCTGTGATAATTACATAATTAGAAAAATAGCTCATAAAAATCAGAAAATCTGTTCAAATATTTTCATAGCATGAATATAAACTATTTTGAAATAATTACTTAGGTGGTGTTAATCAAACGAAATTGTTTTCATGTGCCGATCCACTTAAATGAGTAATGCGAAACGATGGGCATTTTGTTAAATATTTCAAAAGTTGAATGTTAAGATGGAGATTCAACAACAGTAAAGAGAGATTATATAAAAGATGAAAATGGTATGATTAGCCCATTCACAGACACAAAGTTTTCGTTCAGTGAAATTAGTAAAATAGGGAAGTACGTGTACTTTATTTACTATCACAACTCTTTAGAGATGTACAATTCACTAGATGGCATTAAAGTATATCTGTACAACAACTGACGTATTATGATGACTATGTTCTAAATTAAAAATAAGCAATTTAATATACAGTCATATTGGGATCTTGAGTCAAAAGTTATCTCAAGAGATTTAAGAAAGTGTCTAGCCACAACGAGCTATTGCCGAATGTGGTTGTTCTAATTTTTCCAAATATTCAAAGTGCTTGCGTGCATTGCGAATATTCAGCAAAGTTGCAGAAGAGGCTGAGAAAAAACGAGAAAAACATCCATTTAAAACAAATTGCGCAATATCCAACATTCGTAAAAGGAAATTGGTGTAAATCATTTAGTAAGTCACTTGGAACCTAGTGAACAATACGAAACATATCTCTGATCACTCATAACATTTATAATGAAATTAGGAACGCTTGTAGAAATAAAAAACGACACAAGTTTTTCGCAATACCAACTGACAAAAGTGGTTACTGGATTTTATACACTCTAAAAGTACATCTGCATTTAGATACTTGAGTTTAATAAAGATAGCAATAATCAATATAATTCTGAGAAGTAAAGGACTGGCATCATTCCACAAATATCCTAACCTTAGTATCCAGATTAATAACTATCTATATCTATACGAGACATCGCTGCTAAAATTCTGTTAGCCGGTGGATGTCGAACGAGTGTTCATCATCCCTGAGAGAAAGGCGAATAAATTTCAAAACTCGTTTTTACTACTAATTTTCCATCCAATTTTTCTGATGGCTGATTAGATAAACAACATTATTCACAGAATTGTGGTTTGTGAAAGTCAACTCTCTAAAGAGAAGAGGGAGATGTTTCACTTTTACAAATAATAAACTGGTTTATACGGCAAATGTTTTAGTGTGAAACTTAGAAATAATGTCTCATACGATCCCAATTTTAACTAGCAACAATACGTGCTTACTTACACCTGTCACACCTTGTGTAAGAGCATAAGCCACCCACCAGCATTCTCCATCCAACACTTGAATCCTCCTTTCCAGTTCCTATTCATCCTTTCGATGTCTGCTTCCATTTCCCGGCGCAACGTGTTCTTTGGTCTTCCGATTTTCTGTTTCCCTTTAGAATCGAAAGTTAGCGCTTGCCTCGTGATGCAGTTTGGTGATTTCCATAATGTATGTCCTATCCACTTTCAGCGCTTTTTCCTAATTTCCTCTTCAGTTGGAAGTTGGGTTGTTCTCTCCTACAGTAGGCTGTAATTGATGGTATCTAGTCAGCGGACATTCAGTATCTTGCGTAGACAATTGTCTATAAATACTTGTATCTTCCTGATGATGCTTCCAGTAGTTCTCCAAGTTCCAGTTCCGTACAATAGAACTATCTTGATGTTCGCATAAGAGATGTTGGCTGACAGTTGTTTTGAGTCCCATACGTTCCTCAATGGTGAAATACTACCCTTGCTTTGCCAATCCGTGCCTTCAAATCTGTATCACATCCTCCTTGCTCATCGATGATGCTGTCCAGGCACGTTCACGTTTCCACATTTACTAGAGCTTCTTTATCAAGTGTGATCAGGTTGGTGCTCCAAGCGTTGTGTTTCAGAACCTTGCTTCATCAGTATCGATTACCTCAAGTGGTGTTCGTCAGGGTTATCCACTCTCTCCATTCTTGTTTAACTTTGTCGTTGACGTACTTTTAGAGATAACACTTTCCTCATCTGACTTTACAAGGGTTGAACTTCTACCGGGAGGTTCACTTGTTGACTTAGAATATGCAGATGATAATTTTATTTGGTGAAGACGCTGACAAAATGCAGAGTCTTCTGACCACTATAAGCAACAATGCAAGCATGTTCGGGATGCGATTCTCCCCTCCAAATGCAAAATGTTGCTTCAGGATTGGGTACATCGACACCCGAACTAATGATAGGGAGTGAAGTAGTTGAGCGTGTCGACCGCTTGACATATCTTGGAAGTCTCATCAACCCTTGTGGTCTGGTGTGTGATGAAATTTCAGCACGGATACGGAAAACTCGATTAGCTTTTGCCAACTTGCGTCATTTATGGCGTAGGCGAGGTATTCGTCTATCAACCAAAGGACGAGTTTACTGCGCAGCAGTTCGTTCCGTCCTACTTTATGGCAGTAAAACATGGACGGTGAGAGTAAAGGATATTCGTAGGTTACTAGTATTCGATCATAGGCATCCTCGAAACATTGCTCGTATATCCTGGGACCAACGAGTAAGTAACACAGTTGTTAGGAAACAGGTACTAGGTAAGGATGGTAAATCAATTGAAAAAGTAGTAAAACTTCATCAGTTGAGATGGCTGGGACATGTGTTACGTATGCCCAACCACCGACTGTCCTGACGAGCGATGTTTCCTCGTGTAGAAGTAGGTTGGAAGAAAGCTAGGGGCGGCCAGACCAAAACATGGCACAAACCCATGAAGTCATTGACAAGTGGTGTGCGTCATGTTGGTAGGTGTAGACTACCTGGTTGGGGACCGCGAGATGATAGCAACCGATGGTTAGAGACCCTGAGTGATATGGCTCAAAATCGTTTGCGATGGCGCAGGTGCATCCACTCTTTGTGTTCTCTCAAATTCTAATCTTCTGAATTCTTCATGTCCAAACTTTTTTCCTCTTTCCAAACTTATTTCACTGTATTATACTCCTTTAATGACATCTTCAAACCCTAATGTTTCCGATTACTGCTTATACTCTTACTACCTCTACCACTACGGGATTTGAATCGACAATTGTATTTGTGTGCTAATGTGGTATGGCAACTCGAACTGGTGTAAGTACGTACGAAGTTCTACGTTGTTACTGACTGACTGATCTCACTTCTTCCATTGTGTATGTTCAGGCCCAACTGATGCAGAGACTGCCGCTACCCTGACTGCCTTAATCCGCATTTGTTGTTGTCTATGGGATGGAAGAGCTAGGTCATCTGTAAGGTTTAAATCGTCTAGCTGCACCCAAGCTATCCATTGTATCCCATGCTCCCCCTCAGATATGTAGGTCTTTGTAATCCAGTCGATCACCAGAAAAAAGGAGAAACTAAGTAGTCTTGGAGTTGTTGACTCTATGCCCAACCGTCCTCCTTTGGTCGGGCTTGAGATCGGCATGTATTAACAATCACGCAAAGCTGTAATTAACTAATAATTTGAAGTGCTAAACTACAAACCACATGACTAGAGGTACAAACCCAACTGCATTCTGACTCGTGATAGGTGCACATACCAATCTGTTAAATAGATTCTATCCGTTGTAACAGACTTTCATTCATTCATAGAGAATACCATTAGTGAAAATGAAAAATAAGAAATGTTTCAAACTTAGTACACTCACCGATGGATAGATCAGAACATACCACCATGATATATGTATTAGATGTGAAAACATCAATAAACGCAGCAAAGTGTTGGTTGCGCAGTTCAATTTTCGTGAAATTTGCCCCAACTTTACTACATGACAATTTGAATTGTTTCACAATGTTGCTTATCTTCTCAAACCTAAATTTTGAAGTTATTAGGACGAATAAACACACAGTTCCTACCTATGCACATCAGAATGTGGAACTCTAGAATGACAAGCAATTTCCAAAAATGTTGCTCTTTCGAATAAGATCACTTCATCAGCTTCTAGTACTTCACAAAGTTGCTTTAAACTACCCTCCAACATTTTGATATTCGGAATAAGTTCATAAACAATTTTAGACCAAGCTTTAAATAATGTTTCATCCCATATTGACGTAGCAAAGCATGAACAAGTGAATGGCTTTGTAACCGCTTCGATATTTTGCTTTCTGACTTGAAATACCTATTTTATGTATCAATCGGAGGAGGAATAAAGTTTATCTTTTAAAACATAAAAGCTAAACAGTAAAAACTGACGAATAATTATTTAGAATAATCTAACCACTGAACGGTATTTTACAAACCTGCGGATTCAGAATATAAAATCTGTAAGTGGTTTCCACCATGGACTGGCACTAGTTGGAAACTACTAAAACTCATGGGGCTGGAATTTATCGAATGCCTGAGGATCTTCAGAAAAATTTCTTACGGGATCAAAAGTGTTGTCTGAGTTTTCGGGCGAATCGTTAATTACTTTCGGAGCAACTGCTACTTCGAAAATTCAGCAATCAGTAGGATATCTGGATGGGAGAGTTTAGTTTGTGTCCTTTATCCCCTGGAATTGGATTCAACTACAGATAAAACAGTTAATATACGTGACAGAGATTGGTTGTTTTCAGAAAAGTTTGAACGATCCTTACATAAAGCTTATGGATAAGATTACTAAATTTGCTGCTCTAGACAATATAGAAGGTTGATCTGGAACTTTCTGAACGGTAGGATAAACGAAAAGGTGAATATGGCACTGTTTATCTTCAGACCACGATCCAGCGTCGTTGAAAGAGTACAACCAAACAGTTAGATTTAAATAAAAACATTGTGAAGACATACTTCATCCTTTTTTTTCTTCACTGACGAGGTCTGTCTTATGAATGAGGCAAAAGATTTTCGCACCGGGGGAATTTTGATTTACAGCGTCCAAACACGAACGGTAATAAGCCAAGTCTTTTGATATTTCCCTGCTTTCAATATCGAAAACATAGATCAAGACTTCGACATTTCTGAATATGGTTTCTCTTTGGTTGACGAAATAGCTTTCCATAAATCCATCTTGACTATGGAAAAACAGACGATTAATCGACAGACTTACCCTCCGCAATCCCATAAATTTAGAACCAATCCACCTAGCAGTCGCAGGTGAGTGTGTTCTACGTCCACTAATACGAAAAGTTGGTTAAACTGTATATTTACACATACTTGTAGGACCGAGCCTGCGAGTATCTCGAGCGATGAAGTTTGCAAATATGATACTTCTCATACTCGTTTTGCCTGAACCAGATTTTCCCATTAACAAAACCTATGAAGTAAGCAGCACGATAACGTGACATACTTTCTTCCTCATCCCAATTGTAAATTGAGTAACGCACAGTAAAAATGTCCCACACTCGGTTGTCAATCCATAAGATTGGATTTTCAGTTTTATTTAAGAAAGGACAGGAAACTGTGTAACTGGTTTTAGTTCAAAAGACAATGTTGCGTCAGTTGATCTGATTTTTCGATGGAGTTTATAGATGGAGCTTTAGTCACGTATTGAGTAAAGGATTTCCGTTTTTCTTATTGTTCCCTGGGGGAATCGATAGTCAGCTTACATGTTATTCATTCTAGGTTTCATCACAAATCCTCTATTTTGTAAGAAAATAAAAAGGGGGAGTGCCGATTGCAATTCTATAATGTTATTTCAAAACTGTGGTAAAGTCACCAGTGGTCCTTCTGCATTACAATGAAAATAGGTTGGTTTGGCCAATCTCTCGTCATATGGAAGCTGTGAGATTCCAAGAATCAACCTACCTGGTGTTTCAGAAATCTCTTCTAACAACTCAATGGATATTTAGGAAATGCTCAGGTGAAGGTCGGACGAATGCTATATACGTAGTCAGATGTGTCTTGGCATCCACGTGGCAAAAGGCTATACTTACTGATCAGTGGATTACAAAAGCTTCGGTGTCTGTTACATGAAGGTTTGCATGAGTGATCAAGTCGCGAATAACGATGGCTCCCAAGTTGTTACGTATCTAGACAACAAGTGGCTCAATATTCTTCGCTGTGTATGCATCCGTAAATTGGTAACCATCATGCACCTGGAGGCATTTGTCGGCAACTGCCAAATTCTAAACCGCTCGGATAATTTCTGCAAGTTGTCCCGAAGCTCCTAAACATTACCCTCACTCATCTTCATATCGTCAGGATATAACAAAACCAATGATAGGAAACTAGGAATGTTATTAACTCATAGGAGGAATCTCGAATGTATTTTATCGGGTCTCTTAGATTTACCTATATTAAACTTATTTAACAGACCAAACTAACCGACTTCCCTAATCGAATAAGATTGCGTGTTAGGAGCTCTTTAGGAAGAGAAGATAAGGACGTCAATACGGTGTATATGTTACCAAATTTGTGTGACAATAACTGGGCTTCTTAGCGATCGTCTTCTGCAAGTGAAGTGGAACTTCTGTCCCTACAAAACGCTGAAACGCCGCCTCTTTCCTCAATTCTTTCATTAATGCACGAATATAAGTGTCCTGTATATTCTGTGGACTCGTTAACAGGTTTTTATTCATACAATCTTTGACACTTAGGTAGGGATGATGCAAAAATATTCCGGGCTTCCCGATATTGAGATTTTGTCTCATTAGAATTCAGTAACCTTGATCCTTTCCGCATTCTCTCCTTTTTCAGATGAAGTTACGGATCTCCTTACCGAACTGTTGAAAGGAGTTTCTTGAATTTCTTGGTGTGATTCAAGGAACGTACGGTACAGTGACTTTTTGTAGAAATTTCGTAATGCTGAACATCGACCACTTTAAGATCAAGTGTTGAGACCACCTGGGAGCACCCTATTTACCTCAGAGTTTCGATTAATATAGTATAAAATATTCCTGCAAGGGCAGGTGCATGCCATTTTTACAGGCATGATCTATCAACTACAATATTTATTGTTTCACAGTATGCATGGTAAATAAATATTCTCTATATAAGTGAATATCAGTTCATTCCTTCAGATATAGTGAGTAGTCTTCAAAATATTTTCCAAAGTGATATCGCGTCCACGTTACACACGAGATCCAATCTCGGCATAAATGTGTTAGGGTTTTGGTCGTGCGAAGTATTAATGCAATGCAACTTTTTATGTTTAAAGTTGTCATAAAGTAGACTTGTAGAGCGTTTGATGTGAACTATGACCGTGGGAAAGCACGCACGTCTAGTTCCTTCCAGACTTAAAAAATGTTACATAGCTATGCCCTCAAAGCAAGATTCTGAAGAAAAAAGAGAAACCGAGGAGCAGCAAGGCACTTGGATATAAACGGTAAACAATACTTAACACTTTGTGGTGGAAAAGACACAGGTATGATAAATTATTAAATTAAATTCATGTTAGCTCTTGTAGCTAGAGTGAAATGTGATTAGAAGCTTCAGATGACAGAATGCAGTAATAAAGAACATTGAGTTGTGATATTTACCAAGGTGGAGTAAGTTTAAATGAAGGAAGGGTTGGAATAAGGAAGGCTATTGTGGTGGACCAAACCAATTAACAACTCTTTTCCCTTGTATCTCAAGCGGTAACTAACTAATTTATATATTCCGCTTTCATGAGATGTGCTATCGATAGCAGTAAAGCGGATAGTATTTCTAGTGAACGAAGCCACTTCCGCTCCTTTACTCAGGTGGCTTAGTTTGATTTTCAATAGAGTCCTTTCGGGTACCTAGTCTGTAAATCAAATAGATAACTCGAGACACCAGTTAGTTCACTGGACTTAATGTCAACGCGATGTCATACTCAATGTCAGTTTCGCCCCCAGTGCTCTGGTTCTCTTTGACTCTACGAAACACAGCTGACCAGTCACTGTGATCAATTTTCGATTCTCCAGCCTTGGCAAGAGAAACTGAGTTTACGATATCAGATCGTTTCGTACGCTTAGTTTTCGTTTATTCGTCAACTTTCAGTAAAATCGCAATCACAGTTTCATTACGTACATCTCGAGATCCGGAATGATTGTCGATGACTTTGGTATTCAGGTGATGACCTATGTTGATTTTCTCAGTATAAACTGACCCAACCCTACTATTGGGTTACTGTGCGTTTCTCGACTGCTGCCAGCTGGACGGCAGTGCACAAAAGGAACCTGGTTTCCTAAGTTGGTTCACTGCCTGCGCCTGCCAATGTTCCTTTTGTCAACGTTCACAGTAGCTTCTGATATCACACTCTTTGAGTCCGAGCAGCATTCCTAGCAAGGCCACGCACATTTAGGCTTACTAAACTGTGAACCATTAAGTCCTAAAGCAGAATAAACAGAAAGACCGCCGTAATCAATCAGAGTACAGACACAGAAAAATTCCTCCTGGAAAACCAATACTATCGGTATTGCTGTAACTGAAATCAATTTACCATATTATCTGATGCTCAGTAGACAATAAAAAATATGCGTGTAAATCATAAAGAAGGAATACCAATGTCTTCTTAAATATATCTGTTATGTAGGACAACAATGACTGAGTTCCACTTTGAAAGCATTTACCTACAGGGCGGATGTCCTCCGTCCCATAGGGCGTTCGAGCCATAGACGAGATGCGTTCGCTAGTTATTACCAACCCTTGATGCTGTCGAACAAGCAAAGTCTGAGATCAGTCAACTTCGTTGCGCTACAGATTTTGAGCATGTCAAACTGCCCTCCGACTTCTTGTATCTGGTAGTTACCCTCTTATTACGCACGGTGTTTAAAATTTCCATGTTGTTCAGTTAAAATGATTGCATCATGTGCACTATCGCTAAAGGCTGAATAAACACGTACTCTATTTACAACAGTCGGAACGTTCTCCATCGGTTGATTCTTTTTCTTTCTGTTTTTTAAGAGCGAAATTGAAACTAAGCAGAGGTTGTATTTCGAAAAGTAGACCAAACTTCGAAGTTCTCAACAAATTCCTGTCTTGCATCTCATTTAGATTTCTACGGAGAGATGAATGGATAAAGGAATGTTTCTTTCCGGTTTGTCATCATTGTGGCTCTACGCCAATATATTTTGATGTCACTAATCAGTCTGACTTAGAAGACTGCTAAAAACGAAAAGTCTCTGCAAGGACGCCTATTCGATAGGACCCATCAGCAGCGTACATACGACATCGGAAACCATACACAGCACACTAGGTCTCACATGCAGACATTTAACCCTTAAATAACTGGCCGGCATATAATCATGTGCAAGTTTAAATGCAGTCAGTATACAACACTGAGCGAATATCGACTGCCTCCAACGAATTACTTCCTTACAGCCGACAAGGTCAAAGCTAAAACTAAAACTACAACTCGGAAAATTTCCCTTCGAACTTAGTAATTAGTGAATAGGTGATAATTACCAGTGCGTGGTTGTGAATATTACTGAATTTTATTGGGATTACGTAGGACGGATTATGACCCCTATAACTTCTCACAGCCTTCACAGCCTAAAACTGATGATTAATCAAGATGTTTATCAATAATAATGTATTATGTACCAGTGGAATGGAATGAGACACAGGAATAATATCAAGGTCTGATAATTAAATTGGTAATTTGCGATCTAAACGTTTCCATTAAATTGCACTTGAATATACGCAGAGATGGTTAGGGCAGCTTTCACCGAACCTGGCCTGTAGGCCGCCATTTTGCCGGAACGATTTATAATCACAATAATCTGTTGTCGATTAACATTAAGTTATACAAGGCATGCCGGTTTTTAAGCAAGATCAAAATACCGCCGATTCTACAAAGCTAGCTGCAATAAGTTACTACGTTTCTCTGATATATTACAAAATGCCTTCACAATAGAAGCAGGGGAGTGAATTCTAGTGCATAATAATGTGATTATTGATGGTAAAACCAGAATGCACAATGTGTATGGCCAGCAAAAGGTCACGGGGCTGCACCTAGGTCATCCAGCAGTCGGACCACTGAATACTGAATAGTTCAATTGCACGTCATGGACTAGCTCATGTGGTGGTCAAACACCTTCTTATTATTATAATTATTAATCACAAATATCTTATGGGTACATAAGTATTGTGAAGAAACCATCTCAGGTTTCTTCAGAAATGCAATAATACACAAATTTCATTAATGTTAGCATTGTATTTGTCATATTTGAAAAAGAGAAAAAAAGACAATAGTGATAATGGAATAATAATAATAAACCAGATTCTGTATAATAGAAAAGAATAATGAGGAAGGGGTGAAATTAAGGAAATCGAAATGAAGAAGAAGCGAACTACGTAAATAGTTTTATAAGCGTGTTTGTGAATACAGAATAAGTATAGAAGACTATGTATATATCACCAACTGAGTAACAAAAATAAA